CTTCTATCCACGCAACCATCCTGTCCTACCAAGTATATAACAAATCCATTCTGTTAGCTCCAAATCCATCCTACCGTTGCAAGTCACTTTCGTTTTGTTGATCCGTGCCTTGCATCATTGCGGTGCCAAGATCTCCGCATTCAGCTCTGGATCCGCCTGCCGGGCTCCGCTTGCTAATACGCTCCTTATCATTACTCCATAACAGTGTTCTGGGAACACTGTTTCACCGCGACCCATCGTTCACGGCTGCCAAGCTGCCTCAGATTTAGCATCATCGTATACTCAACGTGACTTACATGATATTTTGTTTATTGACAGTTGTCTCATCACTGAGGACCCTGCCATCACCATTACCGCCTTTGCTCCCGCGTTACGGCTCGACTCATCCAGCTCGAGTCATCCGTTGTTGTACCTCGCCCACGGTCTAGCCGGGGGCCTGGTTTCTATCGACACGATACTGCCTCTGGAAGGCATCTAATCCAGAAGAGAGTCCAACGGTTTTTGAATGCCCCCGGCAGCGTTTGAAGACCCGTCCCGCCAAAACACCCAGTTTCCTGGTGACAATAGCCCGCCCTCTCGGGACCCGATTCGAGTGAACCAGGAACAAGAGCCAAGCGTCAAGAGCAAGAAGAAGGGCAAGAATGGCTGCAGGGGAAAGGATAAAGCGGCCAAACCAGCCGTCCAAGCAAGTCTGGAGGAACTGTATGCCCCCCTCACCGCCATGTTTGTTTGGAATAAGTACAGATAGCTAATACCCAAACTGAATGCATAGAACCCAGCCATCACCACCTTCGCAGTCCGAGCCGTCCTCGTATCCAAACAATGCGTTTAGCCGTCCTGCAAATAACATCGGTGTGTCGCCGGTTCTGGAAGCGCTGGGCTCGCTGGGGAACAATACAGAAAACGAGACGGCCTATCGAACAGGGGCTTGGGCCAAATCAATCCCATTTGGGAAGAGTCCTCCAAATGACCTGGTCGATCCTGGCTTTGCCAATGGATCGCCTCTCAGTTTTCCCAATCAGGTTGAAAGGGGTGGCTTCAGCAATGTCTCTTCTTCTGCGTCCCCTCCCCCAGCGAGGGCCAGGCCGATGAGCTATGGCAATGGACCGTTCAACCTCGCTCCATCACGTCACCAGTCGGTTGACAGGCAGAAGCGTCATTCAATGGGCGGCCAGTTCCAGAATCAGCCCCCGTTACCACATCTACCCCAAGCTCATTTCTATGGAGCCCCGGAAATCGACCTGCCCTCATTCTCCCCTGCAAACAGGCCCGCAACGGACAAAAACTATTCGTTCTGTGCCTTTGATTCGATCCCTGGACCTCCATTCAAAGCTGGTAAAATGGGAGGGAAGGTGCTCCTGGTCGGGACTGATGGTGGTCTGGACGTCTTGGCAATTGAGGACTGCAAGACACGTCTGATTGGAAATATAACGGGCATTAATGGACGGGTTCTCGACGCGAAACTGTTGCCGTACACCTCGCAGTCGGATCCCTATGCATCCTCGCGTCCTCATGTGGCTGTCATAGTCCATGGCCCTGTGACTCACAAAGACGACGGAGGCGGGTCCTCTTCCGCCGGATCTGAGCCGAACGAGATTCTTCCGGGTCTTCCAGGAAAACCATCGTCGCACGAGAGGCAGCAGAGCAAGGATGAAACTGTCTACTATCAAACAAGAGTGGAGGTCTATTCCCTCAGGACTGGCGACCATATCACGACGCTTTTTACCAGCAAGCTGGTGCCGTGCTTTGAGGGTTACCCGAACCTTTCTTTGTTCGCGCCGTCACCAGTTGGTAACCTAAAACTCTATGCAAGTGGTAATTACGTCGTGGTCGCTTCAGGCGTCAGTGGTGAGGTGTTTATATATGGTGTCATCGCATCCGCTGCCCCGAATGCGTATCAGTGTCTCGCGAAAACTTGGACTAGTATCCAGTCAAGGGACTCCCGCCGTTATTCCACTTCTTCGAGCTCGACAGACCAGGATGGCTCGCAGGCCGATGCTCCCAATGGCGCAGCTTCTTCTGACACCCCGATCATATCTCTGAGCGGAAGATGGCTAGCGGTGGTACCGCCATCGTTTTCCTCGAGGGCCCCACCCTTAGGTACTGTGCCTGCACCTCTGCTCCAGAGAAAGATTCACGGTCTGGAGACGCTCATCCCGCCATCAAAACCAGCCGTGACCTGCGCAACTGATTCCGGTGAAAGAGAGAGCCTTTTCAACAAGGTAGCCAGGGGCGTTACGCAGGAGCTTTTCAGAGGTGCTCGATGGATGGGTGACCAAGGTCTGCAGGCTTGGAATAACTACTGGAACAAGGACCAGCAATCCGCCCAGAATGGGAACTTACGTCGTCCATCCCAGTTTGCGGATTCTCAGCAGCAAGGTCATAACATATTCCCTCCAACACACGGTCAGGATACTTCTGGGGTGTCGTCATCGGAACCCGATCTAGTATCAGTGATTGACATCAAAAAGCTGGAAGACAGCCAGGAGACAAAGACGTCATTTCCAGGACCTATTGCCACTTTCCAGGCCCCGAATGGATGTAGCTTCTTGTCATTGTCTCCAAACGGGCTAATGCTGTTGACAGCAAGCAAGAAAGGAGACGTGCAGTATGTGTGGGACCTCATGCAAATCAAGCATTGCAGAGCTGCTGCTTTTTTGTCGGACGACTTGACTGCTAATAGCAACTATAATCCAACCACTCCTCATGTGCGGCAGGTCTCGAGGTATGCACGCCTCACAACTTCCAGTATTGTCGATGTCATATGGACGCACCCTATTGGTGAGAAACTGGCGATCATTACACGGAAAGGCACAGTTCATGTCTTTGATATTCCTCGAAGCGCCTTCCAATGGCCTCCATTCCGTCGAGCACGACCGATGCCCAAGAATTCTCAGGCTGAAGATCCGGCAGCGGCTGCTGCTGCTGCACAGTCTGAGGAAACAGGGTCTACAAACCCCTTTACTGCAGCAATGAAATTCGTTGGAGGGACGACACAACCTATTCTCGCGGCTGTTAGAGGTCGTACTACTAGCATTGGTACCACATTTCCCGCTGTAACTGGCTTTGGGTTATCCTCTGCGGCTGGTGTCAGAGGCAGTAAGGCTGTTGCTGCTGGCCTTAGCAAATCTGTCGGCGCTGCAACAGGTACCGTTAAGACACTGCGTCATGTCGGAGAGAATCGATTACATTTGGCGGGATTCTCCAGAGATCCTGTGGCCTCTCGCGTAACATGGATTTCCGCTCGAGACGAATGCCTGCTCGGTGTCATAGACAGCGGGTATTTCAAATTATACAAAATCAAGCGCAGCGTGGTCAATCAGAAGTCTCGGCGAAACCACTCGGTCATCGGACCGAAGATCATGGAATTCAAGTTGCCTCCATATCTGCAGAACTCCTGCGGTCCCATGCAGCTAGGTTTCTCAGTGGATTCAGCTCTGAATGCATCTTGGGCTTTGCCTTCAACCGCTCCCCACTCTTCTTCTACCACAAAGCTCAAGTCCCAGCCCCTCTCGCAGGCCGAGATTGAGACAAATGCTCCGTATCAACCTTTTCATACGGATCGAAGAGTCAATCTTTACGTATTCACTGGATCCGAGGCACACGACTCAGCAGCATCTCCAACAACTAGCCAATGGGTCTTTGGCAATGATATCCCCACTCAAAAACTTCATGTCCGCCCTCTTAACCAAAGTGATGATGAAGATGTCCTACCAGGACAGCAGGCTGGCCTGAGGGAAATGGAGAATCTTATCAGTCTTGGAAATGGCGGTGATCAAGTCGACGAGGTCGTCATCACGACGAGACGGAAGAAGAAGCATTCCGATCCACTCTCCGGTACTTCTCCTGGAATGGATGACGATGATGGATTTTTTGAAGATGATTGCGACGTTTTGGATTTTGCCAGAGACAGGGTCTAAATTGTTCTCGCTGCTCCTGGTGATTTTTTGGTTCTCGGCATGCATTGGTTTTATAGACGTGCTGCACCTAGGCGTTTGTGGACGGAGTTCACACTCTTTTTTCGTCTCTCCATCACTGAAATTGGCATATTGTCATACTGTTGGAGTTTCAAGAACGCCATTACCGCGGATAGCAGTCTGTTATCGATTTGACATGGTCAGAATGCATTGGCAGGGCTATGTTGTGCTTCATATCTGCTGATTTGATCAACTCGTGAGAACCACAAACTGCGAATATTGCCTGTACTGCCACTTCAATCCTTAATACCCCCACACAGTTTTGATTGTTGTTTCAATGCATGTTTGTTAGAGGCAGCGATTAGTACACACCTAATAATACAAAAAAAAGGCATAAAAGGGGAAAAAAAAGAGGAAAGAAAGAAAAGAAAAGAAAAGAAAGAAAAGGTTTCTTTCGTACCCAGAATTTCAGTAGAAACTTTTATTATTATTCGTCTTTCGCCTTGACTCTCCAGAAACTTGAAAGTGTATATATACACAGTAGCGATTACAACCCTCCATATCAGGGGTTAGTTGCAGTAACGCCCGTCTCTTCTTCCCACCAACTCTTGAACTCCCTCAGCCTCCGCGTCCGTTCTCTTGCCATCTCCCTCGCCGTGTCTGTCTTCATCATGTCCTCCAGCTTCTCCAGCTTGTCACCGAAATGCTCGATCGCCTGGTCCATCTCCCACCGGTGCGGATCACTGCCCCGTCTCTTGTTGCCCTGCGCTCCGAGAAAAGTGAAACACCGTCCGATGCCCACCGCTCCGAGCGCATCCAGCCGGTCCGCATCCTGCACGACCGCCAGCTCCCGATATCCGTCCTCGAAGATGAGCTTCCGGACCTTCTCCGGGTCCTTGATCTCGTTCGAGTACGAGACGTTGGAGACGATCGTCTGGACGCGTTCTGCGAGCGCAGGGTCCGCGCCCTTGGACACGAGCACGTCGTGGACGATCGTCTTCGGGTCGATGATCGCACCGGTGGTGCTGTTCTCCGGGGGCAGGTACTTCCGGTCACCGATGTCGTGCAGCAGAGCGGCCAGCGTGATGACCGTGCGATCATAGACCTGCTCTGGATGCCGCGTCTTTTCGGCCTCCAGGATGCGGTGGGCGAGGGAGACGACGCGGTGGACGTGCGCGGGGTTGTGGGATGGGTCGTAGCCGGACATGCGTTCCGTCATGTAGGCCGTTGCGGCTTCGATGAGGTGTTGGGTATCATTATCTTTTTGGGGTGTCATTTTTGTTTCTTTGTAGTTATGTGTGATGTTCCCAGAGAGAGGATTTCCAGGATTGTTGTGCAGCACGTGTGCAGTTCCTGTTGTGGGGTGTTTGTATGTTTTTGTCTGTTAAGGTTTAAGAGATTGAGAGGTTGTAGCAGTAAAAAAATAAATAGTAAAAAAAAAAAAACTAGGTTGCTATAGATTACAATAAGAGATAATATGTTTATTGTTATGATCAATACATAAATACATAATTGACATTATTTTTATTGGTCCAGGTAGAAATTGCAACAGGTGCAGTAGTGTACGGAGTGTATATTTACAAACGTGCATTCATACCTAATAACGTCATCTCCAGGACAGCATAGTTAACTAGCCAACCACCTAGGTACCTTTAAGTAGTTGTGCAGAAACATACCTGTATTTTTGCCGGTTTCTCTCCACAGGAACAAATAATGATGAGGCTAGACTTCTTGAATTTGAACTGATATGTCACAAGAACCCGATCTTTCTTTCAAGTCCGTCCATATTTAAGCTTGAATAGAGGCGCAGCAGAGTGGACTATTTCCGGAGGCCTTGTCAAAAAAAAAACAAGTTCTAGACTGAGTATGGGATGAGAATAATCAACTATTATTATGAAGTTTCCCCAATTTGAGCTGATACAGTAGACGGAGGTTCACGCAGAAGAAACTCGAAGGAGGACGGAGATAAGAACCCAATAAATAGATGATTTCCAGGTAGATTAGTATGTGTAAGTTAAGTGGAGATGCCTTTTTGTTTTCTTTATAGAATAAAGAAGGTCTGATTGAAGAAAGTAGGTATTAGTTTACAGATATCTAATCACATAAATCCATAGACTAAGCATAATAAAAGAAAAAAAAAGATTGGTTAGGAGATATAAACATACTCATACACATGCACATACACATACATGAGAACTCCCCCTCAGAAATCCCAGAGACTAAACATAATTAAAAAATAAAAAAAAAATAAAAATACTGGTCAGGAGACATACACACACACATGCACATGTCCATGCACATACACATACACGAGAACTTCCCCGAGTCACCAGTCTATGCCCAGAGAAATTTCTCAACCTTCACTTTTAAGGTGTGCCTTTAACTTGCGTCTGGTGGTGGAGTCCGAAGCCCACAACCGCAGTCCCCTGGTGTATAGGTTTCATACCTGTGCCTCTTTTTTGGGCACAGCATTGGATCCCCCGGATTCCGCCGACATGGACGAACGAGCTCTTTCAGTGCAAAGTGATCGCAAGTGGCAAAAAGGTACACGTCGACAACACACATATTGATACGGTATTGGCAGTAATAATGTTATCGGCGGCGGCGGCGGCGGTGGTGGTAATAGTAGTAGCAGCGGCAGCAGCAGTAGTAGTAGAAGTAGGATCTTATGTTTTAGCTTCAAATATCAAATGTCAGAATTATGATACATATTCCAGGAGTGTTTTCTTTTTCAGGGAGATGGACATACATGATGGCAATGTTTCTTCTTGTTGTTCGCTTGCTTTGTTCTTGATGTCTATCACGCGTAGGAAGTAATATAGAGCAATAATGTATGTTGGAGTGGTTTACTTTGCAATCCTGTGGTGGATTCCATATGTAGATATATATATTCCTCATATTGCTCATATTTTGCTCATCGCTATGACTACATAGGTAGATACTAGGTAAGAGTCAACAGTATATGAAAGTTTTCTGGAAGGACAGTCATTCGTATTAACTGTATACTAGGAGTTGTCAGGTATATACTAACGTACTACTACTATAGTTGGCAATAAGAATGAATGTCTTGGTTAGTATAGTCAGACTTGTTACGAGTTACGACCCGCCACTACGAACCTGTATAGAGTTACTTGTTTGGGTAGTTAGATAGGGTTCATCATTATTCTTCTCAGTGTTTCCGGAGTTAGTAATACAAAAGCCTAAAGTAGGATAGGTATAGGTAGGTAGCTATTTAGATCTAAGAAACGCTTAACAATGTTATAGATCATCAAGACTACAAGATAATAGTCGAACAGTCTAGCGAAGCATGACCTGCAAGCGACTTGTAGAGTAGCAATTCAAATGGGTATTAATTATAAATAGTGGACTGATTACATACATAACGTATGAAATACAGCCAAAGAGAAGAAAATAAAAAAGGACAGTGGCAGTTGACACATGAAGAGAGAAGCTAGATAGCAGTCATAGTGTGCAGGAATTTTTTTTGCGGCGGCAAGAAGCCTTCCTAACTGCTTCTCGATCCTCCCCATCATGCGGAAGAGAATTCAAAGTTACAGAGCAAAGGCGGCCACAACGACACCGAGAAGACCGGCAGCAGAGGCGCCCAGTTCGATGCTGAGCTGGCTGGCCGCACCGGTGCTCTTCGGGACGCTTGCGCTGCTGCTAGAAGAGCCAGACGAGGAGCCAGATCCAGAGCCAGAGCTAGAGCCTATACATTTTCATCTATGTCAGTATCACATCGCAGGCTCAAATTCACGGAAGGGATGCGTACCGCTAGAGCCGGATCCCGAGGTAGCAGTAGCGCTGGAGCCGCTGCCAGTGAGAGTGGTGACATCCGAACCAGAAGAGCCAGTAGCAGCAGCAGCAGCGCTGGCAGCAGTCGCAGGGAAGAAGAGGGAGCTGTAGCAAGACTGCTCGCATTTGGCATAGGCTTCGGTGTCGGCAGGAGTGCCACTGCCCTGAGGGCATCTGGCCGCGCAGGCCGTGGTGTCGTTGGCCATAGCAGCGTTAGGGCATGGCACCTTGAAGCATTTCGCCTTGCAGCAGACGTCACTTGGGGAACCTGCGCAGAGCAATTGGCATTAGTACGGATTCTGCGAAAATATGGGATGCATTGCGCGCTCGTTTAACAGTGGGTGACCTACAGTTGGCAGCGCAAGAAGCCTCAGGCGACAGGGAGGCAGTCGCCGTAGGAGAGGAACCGGTGCTTTCCTGAGCAGCGGCAAGGGCCGCGAGACCAGTGAGGGCGAAGATGCTGAACTTCATTTTGACTTGGGATCTCTGAAGCGAAGCGAAGGACTCGTGAGGCTCAGAGAGAGGACGTTGTATCGCTAGAGAGCGGACTACGCCAGCAAACGAGCGACTGAATGAACGAAGGTCAACAACAGCGAGAACGCGACAGGGACGAGAGAAAAGTCGTGTGTCAAGACTCAAGCCACGGGGAGCATTCCCTGCCCGGGCGACCTATATTAAATTTATAGTTCCAAAAAATCGAGAGTATTTTCTGCTTGGCCGGGGTGAATGCGGGCGGGCCGCTCATTGGCCGCGTGTCAGGTTGGCCCAGATTCTTCGCCCTGCGTCCGTGGATCCCCTGCATTCCCCTCTCCGATTCGCCACCAGCTGCCAATTCTTCGACCCTTTTCCACAGCATTAATCGCGCTGGAGATGGAGTATCGCTGCATGGACGTGTCGTGTGGTCATGCTGACGCGGAATTGAACGTATGGACGCACTTTGGACAGTCCTAGGTGCTGATATGGACTGTTTGTGTACCCGTTATGGCATGATTCCATCAAGCCCGGCCTGCAGCTGAAACAAGGGATAGGAAATGTTGTCAATCCACATTCCACTGCATGAATGAAGCCTGTTGCGCAGGCAGCACAGCACAGCGCAGGAGTCGAGAGTCGCGAGTGATCTGAGATCGAGACAGAGCTCTCCTCTGGACAAGTCATAAGCACTAGTGACTACGCACGCCACGTTAGCCGGCAAAGTCCAGGTGATCTATCAGCTTCTCTCCGTTTCATTGCAGCTATTTTTATCGAGTAATACGGAGTGCCGTCAAACTACGATATAAGAGGATCCACAGGGCGTCGATGCAGAAAAGCGCGCTAGTCCAAGTCCGGTTAGTCTGGACCCTCCAAACACGCCAAACACGCCAGTCCCGAAAAGGCAAGAACATCTTTATCACGTGATGTCGCGACGCTCCGACGCGCGTTCAACTGCTGGCGCGGCGAGGCAAATGGACGTAGATGATAGAACAGACCACGAAATTGCGAAGATAGGCACAGACGCTGCAGAGGAAGCCTACGAGCGGGGAACTCTCGCTCAAGGTGCTTCTTCGCTTCTTTCTGTCGAGTGTCTTTGTTGCGATGTCATCTCCCAGCAGCGGGGAGTTCAGCGATTTGGACAAGGATGTCCTGGTTGCCGCAAGCCAGACCAGCGTGTTCGATTCGGTCCCTAGCGATGACGACTCTCCTCGCCCTCCCAAACGACGTCGTCTTCATGCGCAAAATGACGGGCCGGGTCCGGCTCGTTCGGCTGCTGATGAGGCTTCCAGTGTCGACGAGAATGACTATTCAGACGTGAATTCAACCTCGTCGGCCGATGATCTCCCTCCACCACCCCGCGGCAGATTCTCGAAGGATAGCGACGGACACTCTCCGAGGGCCAAAAGGTCCAAATATAAGATTCATATTCCGAAACATACCAGTGTGCAGGAGGACACGTTCGTATCGCAGTTGACGCAACCTCATTCCAGTCCATCAAGGATTCGAGGACCCCGTTGGAAAAGACCGGACCCTGAGCCTCCGCAAACAAATGTAACGCCACAAGGTAATGAGAAGGTGGACAGAGATGAAGATGAGGAGGAGGAGGATCTGCGGGCTGCGATAGCTGCTTCATTGGAGTCATTTGAGGCGGAGAACTCCCAAGTAGCTACAAATCCCGACTCCAAAGGCTCAACAGCCCCTGTCCCTCGTGATACCCAACCTCAGCCTGCTACTGCCCAGACGGATATAGGGTTTGATCTCGATGATATCCCCGAAGATGCGTTTGATTCCTCTCCGTCCCTGTCGCCGTGCACAGGCCCAGAGGACTCTTTCACAGCTAATTCACGACCAGCGGCGAGCCAATCTTTCTCCAGACCTCAACCACAGACCCAGCGCACAAATCTCCGCCAGACGACCTTGTTCGACCTGGCCGCTCGAAGTACACCACAGGGAGGTCGGAGCTGGTCGCCGCCTCCCAGGGACGAACCTCCCACGCACCATAAGCTGGACACAGAGGCAATGAAGACATGGGTTTACCCGACCAACATTGGCTCGATAAGAGATTACCAATTCAATATTGCGCAAAAGGGTCTGTTTCATAACCTCCTTGTTGCATTGCCCACTGGTCTCGGGAAGACGTTCATTGCCGCAACCATCATGCTTAACTGGTTTCGCTGGACACGGGATGCTCAGATCGTCTTTGTGGCGCCTACGAAACCGCTGGTGTCCCAGCAGGTCTCGGCGTGTCTGGAAATCGCAGGGATGCCTCGTTCTCAAACGACCCTGCTTACCGGAAATGTGCCTCCGGGGACTCGTGCTGAGGAATGGCAGAGCAAGCGTGTCTTCTTCATGACACCTCAGACATTGGTCAACGATCTCAAAACCGGCATAGCGGATCCAAAGCGAATCGTTCTGCTTGTCGTTGATGAGGCCCATCGGGCTACGGGTGGCTACGCTTACGTAGAAGTTGTCAAATTCCTTCGGCGGTTTAATAAAAGTTTCAGGGTTTTGGCATTGACGGCGACTCCCGGTTCCACCGTGGAGGCTGTCCAGGCTGTCATTGACGGATTAGATATAGCGAGAGTGGAGATACGGACTGAACAATCTCTTGACATACGCGATTACATACATGCGCGAAATGTCGACATACAAACGTTCACGAATTCAGAAGAGATGATACTGTGTATGGATCTTCTTTCCAAAGCGCTACAACCAAGCGTCGATGAACTTCGCAACCTTAATGCGTATTGGGGAAGGGACCCCATGAGTCTTACAGCATACGGTCTTACCAAGGCAAGACAGCAATGGATGAGTTCGGACGCTGGAAGGAATGCAAGCTTCGGTCTCAAAGGGAAAGTCAATGCGCTATTCACTGTCCTGGCCAGTCTAGCTCATGGTATTGATCTGTTGAAATATCATGGCATTGTACCCTTCTACCACCATCTCGTTTCTTTCCGATCCAGTACCGAGGGCAAAAAAGGAGGGAAATATCAACGCCAAATTGTTGAGGATGAACACTTCAAAAAGCTGATGAACCATCTCCAGCCGTGGGTCAACGACCCTGAATTTATCGGACACCCGAAACTGGAATATTTGAGACAGGTTGTTCTAAATCATTTCATGGATGCTGGGGAGGGCCTTGACGGCGCTGACGGGCGTTCGCGGTCCAACACGAGAGTCATGATATTCGTGCACTTTCGAGACAGTGCCGAAGAAGTTACAAGGGTCTTGAAGAGACACGAGCCCATTATTCGACCACATGTATTCGTCGGCCAAGCTAGTGCCAAAGGCTCGGAAGGGATGGACCAGAAGACACAGCTGAGTATTGTGGAAAAGTTCAAGAAGGGGACATACAATACGATCGTTGCGACCTCGATTGGCGAAGAGGGTTTGGATATCGGCGAAATTGATCTCATTGTGTGTTACGATTCTTCCGCCTCTCCAATTCGGATGCTGCAGCGGATGGGCCGTACCGGTAGGAGACGGGCTGGCAACATCATCCTCCTCTTAATGCAGGGCAAGGAAGAGGAGTCTTACATCAAAGCCAAGGATAACTATGAGAAGATGCAGCAACTGATTGCCAGTGGCACTCGCTTCACGTTTCATGATGACAGGTCTCCCCGCATCCTCCCCAAAGATGTGAAGCCAGTTGTGGATAAACGCAATGTTGAGATCCCTCCTGAAAACTCACAGCCAGAATTGCCGGAGCCGCAGAGGAAGGTCAATCCCCCGAAACGGCCACCGAAGAAATTCCATATGCCAGACAATGTGGAAACTGGCTTCACCAAGGCTTCGCATCTGGGGTCTGGTAATGGTAATGTGGTCCGCCGAAAGGCTGCGGATAAGCACAAGAGTCCCGTTCGCAGTCCATCTCCGGAGCCGGTTCCGTCCCTTGAAGAGGTACTACTCACTCCAGCCCAACAGAGGGAATTGGAAGTTCGGTACCGCAACGTTGGCGGCACGTCTCCGCAATACATCCATCGCCCTCGAAACGATGCGTACCCTGGTCTGCAACGAGTCTTCAGACCAACAAAGCTGATTGGTCATGGATCGCTAACGCGCCGGATGGTTGATGCCCTTCAGAAAATGGCTGCAACTGAACCTGGCTGTGAGGATCGATACAGGAGCATATTGGACAGATGCATTGCAAGGCAAGCCAGTCTGGGAAAGACTCGCACGCTGGCTACATCTACGGAAGAGAGCGATGGACAACGAACTCCAACACGCAATTCGTCAGGAAAGACCGGTCCAAAGCAGCCATCTGAGAGGAGTCGTTTGGAGAAGCCAGTCAAGACAACATCATACTCTACAGCAGCCAATGCACACATCCCATCTGCTTCTCCATATCGTGATAGTACACGACTATCCTCGCCCTTGATGTGCTCTCCTCCTGCAGCTGAAACTGCGGAACATAAACCTTTCTATGCCTCGCAAATGAGCGATGTTGATGAGAACCTGGATCTCGATCTCCCCGATATCGGCACGCTTGTTGATAGAGAATCCAAGCCTGCGGCTCGGAAGAGAAAGAGGACCGTTATCGATGACGACGACGATGACGACTTTTTCTGAAGATTGGGCAGTTGTGTATATTGACCTCTTAAGTATTGTACTTTCTGGATAGGGTACACCATGGTAATTTGTCACGCGGGTAGACGATATTTTTGGGTGGAATGACAAAGGTTGTATGGTCTATATATATATAAATTTTTGGCAATACAATGATACCCGTTACTGTAATTGATTGCTTGAATGATTGTTTTGTTGTCTTGTAGTAATGAGCTGTTCATGGAGTAGGCCCACCGCTCTCACCGCAGCCGCCGTCGGGACACGCACTTAGCTGTCACCAACTCCGACGCGCAGCGATACTCGATATCATATCAGAGTTCCCCTCACCAGCTGCAATCATGGCCGATACGCAATTTGACAGTGCCCTGTGAGTGACCATATATCAGAATCTGTTCTTCCCTTTCTTTCCAGTCACACTTCTGTTGCCACAATTCCCCCAGCAGTCTGTTGCACAAGAACCCCCCGAGCACCCCCGCTTCCTAGCTGCGATTGACCAAAACATCTAATATCTGTCCTTCTCTCCAGTGACCTCCTCCGCCGCCTCTCGCCGCGAGACACGAAACGCAACCTGCAGGCGATCACGACTCTTGTCCCGGACCTGACCGAAGATCTCCTTGCCTCCGTGGACCAACCCCTCGAGGTCCGGCGATGCGCCAAATCCGGCCGCGACTACCTGCTCTGCGACTACAACCGAGATGGAGACAGCTACCGGTCGCCTTGGAGCAATGAGTTCGACCCGCCTCTTGAGGATGGCACCGTTCCGAGTGAAAGGGTGCGGAAATTGGAGGTTGCGGCCAACGAGGCCTTTGATGTATACCGCGAGCTCTACTACGAGGGCGGGGTGAGCAGCGTCTACTTCTGGGATCTGGATGACGGATTCGCGGGGGTTGTCTTGCTGAAGAAAGGTCCGTGTCGTTCAATCATTTCAAATACCTTTGTTTCTGCAAAGCTGACGATCCTTTGGTTTCGACAGGTGTCACCCCCGGCTCGAAGAGCACCGGCGCGTGGGACAGCATCCACGTCTTCGAGGCGACGGACCGCGCCCGCATGTCGCACTACAAACTGACGAGCACGGTCATCTTGCACCTGGCCAGCGAGACAGAGGCCCTGGGAACGATGGACCTCAGCGGCAACATGACCCGGCAGGTGGAGGCCGATCTGCCCGTTGAGTCTGACGCGAGCCATGTCGCCAACGTCGGTAGACTGGTTGAAGATATGGAGTTGAAAATGAGGAACTTGCTCCGTATGTTTCCTCCCCATCTTTTCTGTTCCTAGACAATCATATGCTGACGGACGATTTCTGCCTTCTGCAGAGGAAGTATACTTTGGAAAAGCAAAGGATGTGGTTGGCGACCTTAGAAGTAAGTGGATAAAAAAAACGGTCATGTTGCGCTGATACTAACGTCTTTAACTACTATCTAGGCATCGCTCCGCTGTCAGAGACCAACAAAGAGAGGGCTGCCCACAGGGAGATGATCAACTCCATGAAGGTGGCATCATAGATTGCAGAATTCTCCGGCTATAATCAGGTATGATGAGAGAGGAAACGAGACCAGAGGAGCAGACTAGTCACGAAGCTGTTGTGTGATTACAAAAATATATGCTCATACCATACCCCCATTCCCTATTCCCAGAGGAGGATCATGTAGATCTTGTTCTTCTTTTTGTCCCAAATTTCTTGTTTTTTATCATTATGTTTTCTGGCTCTTAGTGAAAATATTACGTTCGTTGCAGATTTTAGGACATTAGAGATATAGGAATTGAGATGAGACGTTTACGACAGACTGTCATTCCCACACATAGCTAGGTTACCAGAAGTAGTGGATGGCAGATAAGTGTAGATTCTTTCAAATTCTCTAACTGGAGAATCAATGTTGAGATTTCATCCAAGTGCCCTCACTGTGGGCTCAACGTAGAGTTTCTTGGATTTGAAAATTGCCAGGAGAAGCAACCTCGACTGCAGTGGGGAGCTGCAGTCGTATTGTGGCGCGGTATGGCATGACCGCCGGCCCTCTACGCCCTCGCGCGGCGGCGTAACGGTTCTGTATCATATGTGGACGCCTCTCCGTAAAGAGCCACGATGCCAGTTCCACCTAACATCGATCCTCTAGGGTTTCCACTCCGTATTATGGCTCCTTCATCAGATATGGTCAAGATTTCCGCTGTGGTAGAGAGGAGGAATGCGTAGGAGCCCAAACGAGAGGCATCACGGGAGCCACCAACTCGAACACGACCCAGGAATATGACTAGTCGCCGTTGGGATGGAGTGGACAGATTCGATATCAATTTCCATCGCGCAGACCATGTAGAAGCTCACTCAGTCAACCTCCATTTTCTCGTTATGACCATCGACCTTGTCCCCACTTTCGCCATTGCTTCGCTTCTCCGCACCATCGCCCGACTGCGCACGAACGTTTGCGACGAATTCCCGAGCAGCAGCCCACAGCTCGGCTTCCTTATCCTTGCCCACGGTGTCTTTCCGGCTATTGAGCCAACTGATCTCGAGCGGGTTGATGCCAGCTGCACCTCCGCCAGCTGCAGCCGCGGCAGCAGCATCACCGGCCCGGGAGGGGCCAGACTCCGGAGCAACAATCCCTGCTTCCTCGAGCGCGTACACCTGGCGACGCAATCGGACGTCGATGGAGGACAGCAGAGCAAAGTACTGCGACGCCGCGGCTTTGAACGCCGCCTTGCGCGATTCAACCGTGTTGCCGGCTTCGGACTTGGCGTTGGTCAGGGCTTGGATGGCGAGGCCGGCAGAATGGACCAGTTTCGCTACATCCTGTTGCAATTGTCAGCGCCTTGAAAGGCTCATTATTTATTATTTTTATTATGTGTCTTTTTGTCGCTCACTGGGTGCGCGCACTTTGTCAATTTCGTTTAGCTGCCGTATCCGGTCAGCAGAAGTGAATGTTTGGACATTCGTCTCTGAATAAGCCATGATTCACCCCAGGTAGACTTCTGTTTAGGAGGCACAAAGTAAAATAGAAGAGAGAGAGGCAGTGCTGCCTCTCGAAAAAAGCAAAGTGATAAATAATTACTGGATTGAAGCTACGCAATCACGTGTGAAGTGCGGGAGACTTGGGGAAGCTCCTGAATAATGGCCGCTAGCGGACTCACGCTAACCTTTAAATGGTATAGCGTTATATCAGAAAGACTTCAGCGACGCGACCTTTCACTTGCAGCAAGTTGTTGACCTTCACCTTGCGCCAGCGTCGCCCACGCCACTAGTCCCAGTGACATGAAAGTGAATTAGTCATTTTAGACAGTTAACGACCAGAACTATCCATAAGTGAAAGAGAAAAGTACCAGTGAAGATGTCCGCTCCAGGCGGCGGGGCTCCTAGCCCTGCACCTCGCAGTGCCAGTATCGGACCTAATACCGGAGTGCCTCTTCCTCCCCAGCAGCCCATGACTGGAAATCCTCCTGTTGCACCTGCAACACCTGCACCAGCTGGAGGTTCAAGTGGACCGGTCTCTCAGCAGAATCTCAACCAGATTGTAAGTCATTTCAGCTTTGTTGTCTGCATCTTGTTATGGACGTGGACGTGTTCTTTGTTCTTGTTTTGAGCACAAGTCACATATCTGCCCTTTTGTGCTGTGTCTTCGGAATCATGTTTTTGAAGTTGTCGTTGCACCTGATGAAGCAGCAAAGAAGGCCAAACAGGACATTGCAAAAGACGTGAATGGCAACCTGTAAAAAGGGCACAATGAATGCAGTTCTCTGTGACTCAAGCAGGAAATACTTATCCTTCATGGCGCTAAAGAGCGCTAGAGAGCTTTGTCTCTTGCTGGCTCCATCGCTCATTGGCTCTGTGTCCTTCTATGTCTGTCTACTCCTTCACCATCTGGCACGGCCGGCTGGAAAAATATTGCAGCGAAGTTCTTCCGATGTTTGATGATATATGGCTGTTTGGGGTGTCGTCTGAAGTCTGTCATGTCTCGAACCGTCCTTCGTTGTTGCTGTCGATTCCGTACTTTTAGCACTTTCGGTATCGACTTCGGAACAGAATGCCTCGTTCGAAGAAGGGAGGACGCTCTCGCAAGAAGAAGCAGCCGGAAACGGCCGCTTCAACGGCCCCAGTTACTTCTGAGGCGCCCACAGCACCTGTTTTACCGGGCCCTTCCGACAATTCGAGGGAAGATGCCAGTGTGAGCACGGCAGCCAGGCAAGAGCCGACCATCTCGCAGCTGGCCAGGCGACGCCTGGAGTTGGAGCTCTTGACTGCACAGCAGGCTTTGACTGCCATGTTAATTGAAGAGCAACGGACTTTAGTCACCAAACCCAGTGCTCTGCCGCCGGTGGAGGAGAAGACAGACGTGTGTGCCATTTATACGCCCTTTGCGACATCCTCAGCTGTTATGGCCTTGAAATGTTGTTCTTTCTTATGTTGATTTGTTATGAATTTCAATGAATCGTTTTGGAATCACGTTCCAATGTGTCATCGACTAACAGCTACTTTTCCACCCAGGTTATCGACTATCTAGCCAAAAAAGGTTACACTAGAACCGAAGCCATGCTCCGAATGGAGTCCGCGAATCAGGAAATTGATGGGCGGTCTTTGCCCCAGCTCAGCGAAGACCAGCGTCCCAAATACAGACAGGGCTTCGGTGCGTACCATCTTGGTTTCTCTGGCTGAAATCAATCTTCAGTGGACTAACTTCAAGAATTGTAGATTTGACTAAGGTCTGGATCGAGGACAACTTGGACTTGTACAAGGTATGATTGACTTTGGCATTTCTCTTGTTGTATCAACTTGGCTAACGGTAATATTAGCCGGAACTGCGACGTGTCCTGTGGCCTCTGTTCGTCTACTCTTTCCTTGACCTCGTGAGCTCCTTCTATCCACAGGATGCCAAGCAGTTCTTTGAGACGAACAAAAACCTGTTCCTCCCGGAACATGCGGAAGACATCCGTGCACTGGAGCCTATCAGTCTTCCAGAGCATGTCCAGGACAATACGGTTGCGAAGATTTACCGCGGCAACAAGTATCGTTTGATCCTCAGCAATCCTGCTTTTTCGAATCTCATGCAGTTCTTGGAGAATAAGCACAAGGAAGGAGGCTCGGTCATGTCTGCGATTCTCAGCAGCTACTGTACGATCATCACAAAGGAGCGTGCTGCAGATGACCGTTTCAGCTTTGCTGCCATGCTTGGTCGCGCCCGTGAAAGCGAGACGTTCCCTGCTGAAGACGAAGGAATTCCTGGTCACCATCCAGGTTCGGCCTACACTGGGGACAACCCTGCTATGACGGGTACCCTGCCTAGACTCAAGCTGGGAAAGCTCCCCCCGGAGCCAGAACTTGAGGGTGACGTTCGGGCGGAGCTGGAAGAGTACGACGCAAAGAACCCGCCTCCCCCAGGTCGTAATACTCTCGTCCAGGAATATGATCAGATGATCAAGAAAGAGGAGGATGAGGAGGCTCCTAGCCGTGCTGAGATCCCTTTCCCTCCGTCTACTGCTCGTGATGTTGCCATCGAGGTCCAGAGGGTCAAGGAGAACCGTGACAGATTCAGGATCGAAGGTCGTACCGGCGGTGTTGGTCCCGCAGTGAGCGTTTGCATGTTCACGTTCCACAACACCTACGATAGGTTAGTTTCTCCTCGTAACTTTTACAAGTGCTGGCTAACAGTTTGCCGTCAGATTGACCTGCCTTGACTTTTCGGACGATAACATGCTCGTGGCAGCTGGCTTTGAGGAGTCTTACATCCGGGTCTGGAGTCTTGATGGCAAAGAGATAAAGCCCACTCATGCCGGTCTGGAGGACGTCACGCCACCTTCCAACTCCAAACGCCTCTTTGGCCATTCTGGTCCTGTCTACGCGGTGGCTTTTGCTCCATCCGCAGCCCGTACGGAAGGCGAGCTTGCTCCAACTAATGCTCGTTGGCTTCTTTCGTCTTCTGCCGATAAGACCATCCGGCTGTGGTCCCTTGATCTGTGGCAGTGCATGGTGGTGTACAAGGGCCACGATCAGCCAGTGTGGGATTTGAGCTGGGGTCCTTTCGGCTACTACTTTGTTTCTGGGGGCCATGACAAGACCGCTCGACTGTGGGTAACTGACCGAATCCGCCAGCAGCGCATCTTTGCTGGTCACGACCAGGATGTCGATTGCGTTTGTTTCCATCCAAACTCGGCTTACGTGTTTACCGGTAGCTGCGACCACACAGTTCGCATGTGGGCCGTCACCACTGGAAACTGTGTTCGCATGTTCACGGGCCATACCGGCAACATTACTGCTCTTGCATGCAGCCGCAATGGAAAGATTCTGGCGTCTGCGGATGACCATGGATCCATCTTCTTGTGGGATCTGGCTCCTGGCAGGCTCTTGAAGCGCATGCGTGGGCACGGCAAGGGCGGCATCTGGTCGCTGAGCTGGAATGTTGAGTCTAATGTGTTGGTGTCCGGTGGCGCTGATGGCACCGTTCGCGTGTGGGATATTAACCCTCCTGCCCCGGAGCCGTCGGGAAGCCAGACTCGCGCTGGCGGAGAAGGCTCATCTGGTACGAAAATCGATACGAATGCGACCGCTGCGAGCACTCAGGCTTCCGCTTCTGTCGGACCCGGTGCGGGCAAGAAGAAAGGCAAAGAGAATGTGGTGACTCCTGACCAAATTAGCGCCTTCCCTACGAAGAAGAGTCCTGTCTACAAGGTCAAGTTCACGAACATGAACCTGATCATTGCTGGAGGCGCTTATCTGCCTTGAACGAACTCGTCGGTCGGGATATCCACCAAATCTCGAGATCCCAGTTACCGTCGTAACCAGCAGGGTTCGGGATTCGGTGGTGTTCACTAAAATCTCTTTCCACTTGTGACATAGCATTTCTCTTTCATGTGAACAGCGTGGTTCTGTCTTGAGGGCTTGGATTGCAGTGAAAGACGGCGTCCTGGTTGGCCTGGAGTTTGCGGTTGGGATGGTTCACGGCTGGCGAAGGAATCTCTTTTTTCATCTTCTGCATGGCGCGGCTAATAATAGCATCACAAATAATCTTTCTAATCTGGGAGGTGGCATTCTTGTGATTCATGATGTATTCTAACAAGAATCACCCCGAGAAATGGATATTATTATTTTCTTCCAGTACGCTTTACTCAGTGGTATTTCTGGTTATTAAGAAAGGAAGAAGAAGAGGGGAATTCATTTTCGCTCTTACGAATACGCCTGATGTTTTACTCCTTGTATAAGTATTTTTTTTTAGGACCAACGTTGATAAGAAGTGCATTATTTTGCATTATTTTGCGACTGGCGGGTAATTAAGTAAGATGTGGGGTGAGTCTGCTCGCCACCAAGCAGTCTACAGTATCAACACCTCGAAGATCCACGTACTCGGTAAGCACAAGACAGCATTGATCCATTGCCTGACGCAGCGACAAAAGAAAGAAGAATTATAGAGCCCCACAGTAGAAGATGCTTGCCTAAGTCCAGGTGCTGTTGAATGGAAACATCATGAGCGACTTTCAGAAGGAGTTTGTCAAGTCGCGGCTCGCCAAACTGCCGCCCGAAGCCCCTCCATTGCTCGACGACGCCGACGACACGGCTGCCCCCCATCATGACGATGACTCGTCTTCGGCCTCGTCGGCGTCCTCGACAGGTACGGTTGTTCCATCTCCGGGAAAGAATCTCTTTGCCAGGCCGTCAGGGTGCGTTTATCTCCGTCTCTTGAATTGAATTGTTGTCCCCCATGTAAGACGGACTTTTTTTATAGATTTGCAACGGAAGCTGTACTTGCTGTGTTATTGCCGCGATCTGACAATTTGCCAGTCTATCCCCGAGACAACGCCCCAGTTCGTTAAGTTGGACAGACTTCTACGCCCGCGAGCTCTTCTTAGAAGAGGACGTGGGCGACCTGCACATTGTCCACCATGCGTACATCACTCCGCCCACGGGGTCGGGCCCGCTGTTCGTGATGCACCACGGCGCAGGCTCGTCGGGCCTCTCGTTCGCGTCTTGCTCGGGCGAGATTCGAAAGCTGCTGCCTGAGGCGGGCATTCTCTCGGTAGACGCTCGATACCACGGCAGCACGACGGTGAGCGGCGCGAAAGGCCATGAGGATGAAAAGATCGAGCCTGACTTCCGGCTCGAAACGCTGAGTCGCGATCTGCTCTTCGTCATCGACCAGACGCGGTCGCAGATGGGCTGGGAGACCCTTCCAGACTTGGTCTTGGTGGGCCACAGTCTGGGAGGGGCCGTCATTACCGATGTTGCCAAAAGGGGGGATTTGGGCTCGAAAGTGCTGGCTTACGCCGTGTTGGATGTTGTTGAAGGTGCTGATGGCGACTCTCGCTGCTTGTTCCCAGGCTAATGGGTGTAATCTTAGGATCGGCGATGGACGCACTTCAGAGTATGGACAACTACCTCTCTACGCGACCGAAGAGCTTTCCGTCGTTGAGTTCCGGAATCGAATGGCAGTAAGTGGCTGAATTTTTCTCTTCGTCCTCTTTTCTTAAAGGCATACCTAACGCTCTGTTTATAGCACCCGCTCTCGAACAATCCGCAATACCACGTCAGCACGGGTCTCTGTGCCCTCATTGCTCCGAGAAGAAGAGAACCCCGCCGACCCATCGCGGCCGTGGGTGTGGAGGACGAATTTGGAGGATACGAAGCCATTCTGGGAGGGATGGTTCGTGGGACTGAGCAAGAAGTTTCTCGAAGCCAAAGGAGGAAAGCTCCTGCTGCTGGCTGGGACGGACCGGCTGGACAAGGAGCTGATGATTGGGCAGATGCAGGGTAAGAGACATCCTCAGAGCGACATATCCTGAATATCATGTTCTGGAAAAACTAACGTGTTCCTCATCTACAGGAAAGTATCAACTCCAGGTGATCCCCGACGCGGGACACTTCATCCAAGAAGACCAACCCAGCAAGACGGCTCAGATCCTGGTGGACTTCTACAAGCGAAACGACCGCAGCGCGCTCGTCCTGCCGCCAAAGGTGGGCGATCTGGGGGCTGCGAAAGCCATGGAGAAGGGACTTGGAGCTGTGGATTCTGCGAAAAAGCCTGCTCCATGATGATAAGACGAACCTTGCGTGTAGGGGTTCTTGAATTGAATGCTATTTGACTGGACTGGACTACACTTCATGACTGTCAACGACAGGTAGTCTCCTTTTTTTTATGACGGATGATGATAGACACATGCCAGTTGGATATCTCGCTTTGTAAGAAGGTTACGAGTTAGTTTGAATCTGATATGATATGAGTACGATCCGGCCTGATGCTGTTCCGTTTCCGTAATGATTATGAAGCTGAACCCCTGCCATTGCTATAGTATACAATTCTAAGCTATTTAAAAAGTAAGTGCCGTTTGTACTAGATAATGTTTTAGATTTAGTTCTAAGGCTGGGCTTATGGTACGACAAAGGGGGCCATAGATCTTCAAACCGATCCCCGTCAATCATATACTCCTTCCGGTAATGATAATCCAGATGATCGGAACAAATAACACAGAGATCTGCGGAAAAAGCTGCCTGGAATTGCTCCCTATAGCCCGCCGCTCCGCTGACTTTCTATGGCCCCCAAACCAGAGAATTCTTGAAAAATCCTGGGGCTATCGTCAACTTTATTACATGCAAACGTCCCAACAAACTATATGGAGTATGCAGGAGCCAATGGAGAAAAGGGGGCAAAAAAAATCTCGAATTGTGGTTTGTATTGTCCTGGACCCCTGGTACCTTCTGCCAAGGATGTTATATCAGCATACCACAAATGATGTTGTAAAAAAAAGGATGTGTCAAAAACTTTTTTTTTATTTTAAACGAACGTTCAATCCAAGTGCAGGATTATCAGCACTGCTTTTTCCCCACAATGATAATAACGAGTCAGTAGGACGTATGACATGTCCTATCTAGATAACCGGGTTTGAATTACTGTTGTACAGTTGTACTACCTACAGAAACTCTATGGAGTATTTTTGCCCCCGTTGGAGCTGTGATCGGCGCTTTATACTTGTAGGAGGACCACCATGTAGGAATTTCTCCACATTGTCTTTGTTACTGTTGGACCTTTCTTTCACAGCAGAATTATCAGTATTAGGTCCTGTTGGTATGAAGCACATACCATGTACTACTGTATATGAATATAAAAAGGACTACAAACCTTGTAAGAAAAAAATGTTAAAGCCAGACTTTGGAAGAATAACATCATCATCAATCTTTTCTTTTCTTCTCTGAAAAAAAAAGCAAAAATGCGGGCTTTCCTTAACATCCTCCTTCTCATCCAAGCTGCTTTTCTGGCTTCTGCCAACCCTGCTCCTGCTCCTGTCGCCGACATGAACTGTGCTGACTTGGCCGTGGATTGCCACAAGTTTGCTGCCTGGTGTACTGAACCCAGGATGAGTGAATGGGCAATAAAGAACTGCGCAAAGACTTGCCAAGTTTGTTGAGAAAAAGCCTGCTTGCCTGCCTGCCTGCCTGCCTATATAGCTATAGATATTGGATTATATTATCTGGGTATGTATTTATCAAATACATTCTGTGCAGTTCCTTCCTTTGCTAACCTCTTGTTAAGGGTGATTTTATATCAGTACATATACTGATATACCTACTTCAGTCTTCTACTTGTCACCTACCAGAGTGACAATGGATTGGTCAGAAGATTCTGTCGTGCTCAGCATCATCTGCCGTTTTCAGAAGATGAAAGAGCATGGGAATGGGAAAAAAAAAAGGGGAGGCACAGTGTCGTGACTTCTTCTTTGTTAGCCATACTGTACATACATAAATATGGGTAGAAATCCCTTGGAAGACTTTTCCTCTCTAATCACTCCTGTTTACTAGTTTGCTAGAATCAATTTAGAGACTGTCTTTGCGAATGCCTGATTGCCTGTTTTTGCTAACAGGATCGTGGATCGAGTATACAATTGCAGTACTGGATGTATGTACGTACTTATAATCAAGGTTCATAATCACTTGGATTGTTGTTGCAGCTTAATGGCAGATCCATTCATCATGAGAGACGCCTCACGAAGTTTCGAGGAAGGATCATCCATCGACATACCTATATAATGGGTAGTCCATACTTGTGACGCACCATGGACTTCCTATGTGACTTGGGAAAGGGACATTCATGTGCCCGAAGGTCGAAGGTACGGCGTCGTACTGCGACTTTTTTTTTAAAAAAAAAACAAAAAGGATGTGCCAAAAAAATATTAAGGAGTACAAGGACGAAATCTCGGATTGCCCCAAACTTGCCGGTTATTGTTATAACGGATACATGCCAGAAATAACGACGCTGTGTCAGAAGACTTGCCACTTCTGTTAACTACCAAAATATACATGCCTATCTACCTGCTTGTCTGCCTGGCTACATAGGTATGGATGTTGGATTGCATTGTCTGGGTACGTATGTATTCGAGGCTCTTCTTTTTTCTTTCTTTTTCTTTTTTTTTTCCAAGAAAATGCACTCTGCGCATTTCTTTTCTTTCTTTGCCAACCTCTTGTTCAGAGAATTATATACTGACTGATTTACTTACTTAGTTCGGTCTCCAGCAGCATCGACAAAATCCAGCGCTGTCAACATCCAGAATACATAACGAACGGCCATCCATCCACACAATACCCTACTGAATTGACTTGAACGGCGAATATACGTCTCGTGACTACATAGGCTAGGATGGGGCGGGGTTCTGAAATTAGATTTCTGTAACTGTTGCACAACACAAAGTGATCGATCACATGTATATATCTACTGTACATTCAATAAAGAAAATTTACAATCATCTCACTTCGATCCAAAATGAAAAAAGATCAGGATAAAATGCTACATAGCTATCTACCTACAATCACGTGCTCGCTGCAAGCGGACGCTGAGCTCGAATGGTGACGTCAGGCGACTCGCCTTCCCGATGCGGAAACTACTACTAATTCCAGCGCAGCCATGGGTCTCGTATTCAATTGAACTTAAAAGACTTGAAAAAGACTACTGGGGTAGGTATATTGCTGAAAGGGATCTGCTAGAGGGAAAAATATGAAATATGTACAGTACCTTGTTTCAATCTTATGTATCTGGGAAAATACATTGATTGATCGATTTGGTTCAATTGAATTGGTTTGTCTTGACTGATTTATACAGGTGCAAGACGGACCAAAGTCCCCTTCAGGACTGACTTACTCAGGGCGGCGACTGATTGATTACTTACACTCGACAATGGTGTCATTTTGGGGCCCCAGGAGTAGAAGGGCAGACAACAATGTCTCTGACCATGACCGTGCAAGCAGTGCAAGCCGGCAAAGACACCGCGAACCCGATGAGAGGACGCGCTTGCTGCCGCGAGGGAGTGGTGAGGGATATCTGAGTCCGGATGATCCTGCTGTAAGGAGCACTTCTCCTACCTTGTCAATGATGAGAGCTACTGCTGACGCGGCCAAGGTATCACCATACAACCTCTGGAGCGTGCGCGCGCTGAGACTCTTCTCTCTCATCTTCCTCGCCCTCAGCTTCGTCTGGTGGGTGTTCCTCCTCGTGTCCATCTTCGTCAGTCCGCCCATGATGCACACGCGCGGGTCCGGCTTCTTCAATTTCGCCTACACGACTCTGACCGTGGGCAACCTCATCATCGGCCTACTTTTCTTTGCGGTGCCGTCCAGGCCCATGACCATCTGGGGAGCGGTCCTGTCCGTTCTCCTGGTCGTGGATACGCTGCTCATCCTGTCTGTGCCGCGACTCCGTGTCGAAGAAGGCTGGGTTGGCATCGCGTCCGTCCTCTGGGCGACGGTGATCGCGACATACAACGTCGTGCAGACCCAGACTGTGGCCAGGGGCAAAGAGGAAGAGGAAGAGCGACTCACGGGCCGGGTCGAGACAAGGCGCACTCTGCTGGAATGGTTCGCCGTGCTAGCAGAGACCATCGTCATGGGAGTCATGACTCTCGTCGTGATTCTGCTCACTGCAACGCTGGTCCTCCGCGCCAGAGATGCCAGTCTTGCGCCGCCAGGGAAGCGATACTTGGTCGACAATCAAAAGTACGAGGTGCATCTGGCCTGCGTGGGCAACAACACCATCAACGAAGACGACAGACAAGTCACTACGATCCTCGTCGAGGCCGGCGAGGGTCCGGTCGAGGACAGTCTGCAGCCATTCATCGACAACGCCTATCGAAACGGAATCATCGATCGCTACTGCTACTGGGACCGACCAGGCATTGCCTGGTCCGACAACGCGCCGTCGCCACACTCCGCAGGGATGTCAGCGGATGCGTTTTCCGAGGCCCTGGCTCTGGCCGGGGAAGAGGGGCCCTGGATCCTCGTGTCCGCCGGCATAGGAAGTATATACAGCCGCATCTTCGCCAGTCGGCACGTCGGCGACGTGAGAGGCATGATGCTCATCGACCCGCTGCACGAGGACTCTCTGCATCGAATTGGCAGTCCCGGCCGGGGCTTCGTCCTCTGGTGTCGCGGAATCATCTCCCCACTGGGCCTGGACCGGCTCGCAGGAGCCATCTTCAAAGGCCGGACGCGCGAGGACCGCATATACGGACGGAGCGCGTACCAGAACGGCCGCTTCATCAAGGCCCAGCTGCAGGAGAACCTGGTCGCGGAGTCGATGACAGCAAGCGAAATCGCCAGCGCGCGGCACGTCCAGCAGAGCCTCGACACCCCGCTCGTAGTGGTCAGTTCAGGCGTCGAGATGCACAAAAGCGAGCAGTGGGCCAAGCAGCAGGAGGAGATGGCGCATATGACCGACAACCTCGTCGCCTGGGACGTGGTTGGGGGAGCACCGCACGAGGTGTGGACGACGTTCGAAGGTAGGAATGTGTTGGAGAGGAGGTTGGGACAGATATTATCAGTCAGCGTATAAAGAACGAAAGTACTGTTTTTGAAATCTTTTTTTCCCCCCTGTTCAGTCTGTGTAGATTCCCATATGAGAAATCAATCCCTTCAAAGTGTCGTCGTCGTGTACATGGGCTGTACGTACTGTACGTATGATTATAATCATGGTATGATACGATTTTATAGTATAGTAAGGCACCAACAAGAGGGGGAAAAAAAAGAAACCGATAAAATAGATGCAATATCATGTCAAGTCATGTCATATCATAAGCCTATCTGTTTGTCTAGCTATCTATCTATCAATCAACCATCATTGTCATTATCGCCTTTCCTTTTTTTCCCTCCCGAGAATAATTGAGATAGCTAGGGAAGAAGAATTGAATCGGAATCGGAATCTGTACCAATCTGATGCATGTCTCCTCTCTAAGAATAATGCTTCTCTGCTTATCAAGATGTACAGTACTGTGTACAGTTCGTACATACGTACGTACCAATTCCAGGCAGGTATCATATCAGACCGTTGTTAGGTTAGATAAGTGCTAAGACTAAAGTCTGATCTCTCCTTTGCCTAGTATAAAGAGCCATGGCCATGAATGTTTTTTCTGCGTGGGTTGGTTGAGAGTAACAGGTATACAAGATTGTGAATGTGAGGCACACGTAACGACACGTCCCGGCCGGGTTATTTATGTATGGGTCCGTCCGTCTATCGAAGTGGGAACGCCCAGCTCTTGGAATGCAAAGGATAGTTGCCTCGCAAAGCGAGAATCTCAATCTCGGTTTCGTCGGGACAAGTAGCCAAGTGCGTTGCGGAACACGTATGGACCGTTACTCTAGGCTAGTCCCCTTAAACCTCTTAGCAAGATGTTCACTCTCTGAATTCGGAGACTCGGATCTTGATGACAGATGCCGACGTTTCTGAGCAAAAGATGGGAGAGGAGAATCCTCGGCATTGGGTAGCCAAGGGCGCTTAGGGGGCCGCTCACCGCTCTCCTGAAGTATTGTCACCAGGGTCGCCCATCCGGGTGTGTTCACCAGCTGTGCGCCGTCCACCGGGTCATGGTTGGTCGCTACACGGCATAGAAGTTCTTCCTCCTCCTGGATCATGGTCAGCAACGTACAGCCGCCCCGTAACCCGCAAAACTGCAACTACCTACCTTGCTGAAAGTCCCCAAGGAATGGAGGTAGCAAAGAAGATGAAAGTCCGAAACGGCGTGTATTGCTCTGTTCGGGTCGTCGTGAGATGTCAACTTCTTTGCGAGAGCCCGTAGCTCTTGGCTCTCCCCGATGAGTTCCCGGTTCTCAATGGGAAAAGTGCTGTCGACGAAGAGCGGCAATCCGTCGGTTGGGAAGCCATGGGTCAATGTGACTAGGAGGTACTCCACTGGGAAGCTGGGTTTGGCGTTCTCCTGTACGCTGACGCCATATTCATTGATCTTGCGGTAAAAAACATCGGGGATATACCGAGTTTGACTGCCAGCATCGTCGTCGTCCTCTGATTGAACGAGCATAACAGACGGGTCCGCAGATGGTTCAATTATGTCTGCCCTTACCATTTCCACGGCTGAGTTGGAGGCTTGATATGCGCTGACGCTAATAGCACCTTCCTCATCGCCACTCAGCACGCAGGTAACAAAATTCGAGCCAAAACGACCGGTTTCGCTCCATTTCGTCGCCTTGGGATACTGTGCCTGCAGTCGAGAAGCAAAAACAATCTCCAGGGAGGAGAGGTAATACGAATCCCTGTGTCGCTTGCAAACAACGCTGCCATCTCCCTTTCCAGCATCGAGCAAGTCGGTGAAAATCACCCCGACCTTCTGAAGGCCGCACATCCGAGCAACCTCGTCCACGTCCTTTTCATTTTCCCATTCTTGCAGCGTGATCCCGTCAACCTCGTCTATCTGGGGAGGCTCATAGATCGCCTGGACGACGGCTTTTATGCCTAGCGGGACCTCTGTATACTCCTCATACGTGCCATAGAGGAAGCCTAGCCGCTGCACACCCGATTTACGCCAGAAGTCCAGGAGCGAGTTGATCAGATCCGGCGACGCAAACTCAACGTGGTCGACCATTCGAAACTCTTGCGGCTGCAGGGTGATGGCGCTTGGTTGGCACTTTGTGCAGATCCCTTCGGGCCATGGAGGGTGTCCGGATGGGCAATCTCGCTTGACCCGGTAATAGGGCTCGGAGAGTGGAGGCATGTATGAGCTCTTGACTTCCGGCTTATTCTTTGACGAATTAATTTTCCGGAGGTAAGCGTGGAAAGACATATGTTTTATCTTCTTCTCTGCCAAATACTCCGGGGCGTAGGGCTCGAGCGGCATGCAGTAGTCGCACATGCCCTTGGGACCGTGTCTGCACATTTTCGCATCACAACCCCGATGTATCTTTCCGTCCTTTTTGTCTAATAGATCGTCGAGGGGAGACTGTTCCACAACTTCCCACGGGTTTTTAATCGTGGCGGATGGTGAAGTAGGCTGAGGAGGCAGGGCGACCGTGTCTCTCTGGGGCACGGCGGCTCCATTCAGGCGGCGTGTCTCTCCAGGGGCTCTTTGAGCAGCAGGCTGACCATTGCCGGCTCCGTTGGCATGAGTGGGTTTCTCCTCGTACCCGACGAAGAGCTTGTCCCCGTGTCTTGTAAGGGTAAATAAATGGTCAGAGATCGACGTCGCATGACCGCACCTACACCAAAGGTAACAGGACTTACGACAGGCCAACTCTTTGAATAGAGACCCCTCCAAGGGTGTTCAGATACCTCTCCTGGCCGCCTGTGCCAATAGGTTTGTTCGAGAGCACGATCGAAGCGGGGTCGACATCTTTCGGTAAATGCTCCAGAATCTGCGAAAAGAACAAGCGTCAGTCAGCATGATTCTAACACGGCAAGACGCGCAAAAGATCCTCAAAGCTGCAAATAAAAAGCTTCTTACTGGAGAGAACATACCTTTGGTAGCAGGTTAGGAAACAACTCTGTAGGGTTGACAGTCAAGCGAAACTGGCCGTTGCGGCTCTCGAAGCGGAGGATGATTGGCCGCGAGGAGGCCATGCTTGCTGACGATGTGCGTGCGGATCACAAAGGTGGAAGGCCTGTTTGTCTGAAAAACAACGAGATCCTAAAAGTCAGGGCAAAGTAAGGCCCATGGTGGTGACTGGGGAGACTGCACTGATGCAGGTAGGGAACAGAGGTCGAACGTGGGCGAAGGCAGCGGAGCTCTATCGTCATGGCCCGCCGTCATACGCCGCCCACGCGGGACTAACTGCGGGCGCCTCGTCTGCTTACTCAACTTGGCCGCATCTAAAGAACTGTCGATATGCGAACCAGCACCTCCATTCCAGCCCTCATTTATACCAAAAAGTCCAGTCATAAGTGTTACTGCTCCTACGTTGCGTAGAGTCGAATCGACAAGATCAATAATGGCATGAAATCATTTCTTCATTTATTAGGTTTATCTTCTACTTGGTTTATTATCGTAAAACTGGAGATGAGCGACGAGAAACTGACGTCTCATAAGACAACCGTCAGAGATTGCAGAGCGACAAGCAAAGGGGTATATGAATGCGATTAGAGAATGTTGCAGCTCTTTGGCAAGCCACATGGCCCCTCCTTGGTCTTCTCAGCCTTCTTCGACTCTCCATTCTGGGGTGCCGTAGTTTCCTTCTTAGCAGGGGCAGAGGCTGGCTGGGCGGCACTCTCCTCCTTCCTGCCATATAGTCAATTGAAGTTGACCTTCGAGATACGCTCGTAGAAGGACTTGCCCTGGGCCTCAGCGATCTGAAGCTCCAGAGCAGTGGGCTGGCGGCTGCCATCACCAGCGGCCTGTTCAAACTGTGTCAGTGAATGCTCTTTTCAGACAGAACGGACAGACGGGTTACTTACGAAGGTACCAGCACCCCACGGGCTGCCGCCGTGGATCTCGTTCAGGTTGGTCAGAAGAGGGAAAGTGTCCTTGTAGCCCAGGGGAACGTAGGTGATGCCGTGGTGGGCCAGAGTGCTCATGGCAGCAAGGGCAGTGGACTCCTGACCACCACCGAGAGTGCCGGTGGAGATGAAGAGACCGGCGTACTTGCCGAAGAAGCCACCGGAAGCCCAGATCTGGCCAGACTTGTCCCAGAAGGCCTTCCACTGGGCGGGGAAGTTGCCGTAACGAGTGGGGATACCGAAGAGGAAGGCATCGTACTCAAGGAGCTTCTCAGGCTCGGCGACGGGGTAGTCGGGCTTGGGAGGAGCATGCAGCAGCTTCAGAACGTCGTCGGAGAGAGTCTCGGCGACCTGGAAGATGTCGGCCTGGCCACCAGCAGCCTCAATGCCCTTCTTTTCGGCCTCCGCCAGCTTGGCGACGTGGCCGTACAGGGTGTACTGCAACGCGGATGAGGTCAGTAGACCGCTCCCTAGACAAGGAGGGGCACGTATCGAAGAGGCAACATACAATCACGATAGCGACCTTGGGAGCCATTGTGTCGAGTGAGCAGAGATCAATCGGATGTTCTTTCTGGTCGAAGAGTGAAGGCGTTTGACAAACGAGTCCCGCTGAACAGGAGGGGAAGAGTACAGTACAGCCGGGGCGAGAGCTCCTCTTTATACAAGCAGGATCTCCCGCTCAAGCCGGGAGACCCCGCCAGGAGGAAGGAACCCGAGCAGTTCCACCATGCCCGGAGACGCTGTCCTAGCTGCCTTGCGCCATTGCTGGCGTATTCACCAGGGCGATGATGAGATTGAGTGCTGCGACCGTTCCAGAAGAAGTCGGATCCACCCAGAGCTTTGCTGGCCAACGAGGGCGGCGCTGCTGTCTTACGGAGAGATGACAAATGCCTGCCAAATGCTCACCCTGCGGCGGCGGAGGGGCAGCCAGGAAGCGCATCGAAAGTGTTGGATTGGTCAGTGCGCGGTTTGCAATTGCTGACTGAGCTTTGAATAATAGCAATCCGGATGATGTCAACGACCTGCCCTGTCCGCTTGCAGGCATTCATGCTGGTCTGATTAGAAAATAGATTTTTTTTCTTTTACGACAACGATCAAATTCCCTCGATTAATTAATTTGTAATTTCCAGCAGTTGAGATCCCAGCTGAGGGGAACGAACACCGTCAGTAATTACGGCTTGCGATAGTTAACCGATTATCAATTCCGGCTTACAAATGGGCATTCGTGCTAATCCCTAACTAGGAAGACTACTACGGCAATCACTGCAGGTCGATCATCCGTCCAACCGCCTCCATTGAGTCCATTCGCACCGTCATAGCCCTTCCTGGACTGTGACTGCTCTGTCCAGAGCAATGAAAATAAAGTCCAACTAAGATGATGATGATCTGCTGTACCATTCAGTAGGTCTATGCAACTCGTACTGTACCTGCAAGCAAGCTACGAGCTATTACATGCTATTCGAACCTCGTCATTGCTCCCCGCAGATAATAGGCACGGAGTCCTCCCCGGGTCTATGCTTGGAAGAGTAAGGGCCAGGTACCAGCATCGATATCGATCCAATAACAGCATTGGGTAGCCATATTATAAAATGGCTAGTAATAGCTAGTAATGCCTGCCTGCTGGGTGGTCATCGATGTGCATCAGAATCGAGTCTATAGTCGGTATGGGTTCAATCAGAGATCGCAGGGTTAATCGCCAACGAAAAGAGCTTTTCTGCTGCCTAGGTAACTCGTCGGAGAAATTTTCAGTCATGAATGGAGGCAGGAAACTGGTCCAATTCATCGTCACTTTCGATTATCATTGGGTATCGTGGTTGTACAGTGCATAACTACATTCATTAAAAATAGATATCCCCTTCCAACTCCTCCAGGCAGTAAACGGGAATAAAGAAAGTGTGCGCAGCAACGGGGGCGATCCGCCGTCATGGTTATATTCCTCTTCCTCTTCCCCTGTATGTGTATCGTCCTCTTATGAACCCCCCTCGCCCACGCTCTGCCCTCCATTCCCGTTCGCGTTCTTTCTCCTTCTCCTGCTCCTCTCGAATGAGGGCTCGTTCCCTCTCGAGATCCTCCTCCGTCTTCTCCACTCGCATCTGTGGCTTGGGGAGATTTTCAGGCCAGCGTGGATGCGCCCCTTCCTCACATGCCTTGCCCTCCGGACAGAACCCGGCAAGGTAGTATGGACAGATCTTCTGGCGGACATGACGCTTCGCGCACAGCGGTCCCAGGGGACAGAACCCACGATCATAGTGCTCACACCGGGGACGTCGAGCCTCCTCGCGGACGTGATGGTACAGGCAATCGTCGCCGTTGGGACAGTAGCCGGAGCGCGAGAAGGCCGGGCATTCGGGCATGCGTCGGAGATTGTACTCGTGGAGATATTCGCATTTGAAGCCCTTCTTGCAGAGCCCCTTGAGGAAGTGTTTGCAGACGAGAGAGCCGTGGGTCACCGACGGCGGGATCCCCGAAGCATTCGTCGTGGACGTGGTTATCCGTGCAGGCGTCGGATGCCGGTCCGGACACGTTGGTCCCAGTGGACAGTGTCCCTCGCGGTATGCTTTACAGACAGGAACATCGGCGGCGAGGCCGAAACCGAATGTCTTTCGAAGGTATGGTGTAAATGAAAAGTTATAGCCGGGGGCGCGAGAAGGGTCGGCGGTCAGTAACCGCTCAGCGGCGGCGTGCACATCAGCAGCCATGGCGACAGAATCTCGTGAGCATGTACGGTGGGAGAGGTAAAAAGTCGAGAGTAAGGTATTTCACGCGCTGAGAGGCGCTCAATCGGGATAGGATGGTCGAGGAACAGCTTGGACGCAGCTCGCCTGTAGCTCTATACGGCGTTTGGATGGTACGAGCCGGTAAAATGGGAGATTAGAAAGGCTTTTCGGCCTCAGTCTGGCCACCTTGAAAGTAGGAGAGACGATAAATGTCACAAGAAGCTGTTCAATGTCTGATATTGCCCAAGGCACTGCTGAAGTAAGCTGTGGCCCGTGTTACGGATTTCCATTTACGGTATAGCGCAGTACATGCATTCTTAGTCATCAAGGCTGCCAATGTTGACACCTGAGGCAGTAAAAATTCTGCTTGTATACGGAGTATGACCAGCGTTTTGTCTACTCTCTTGCAACTTATGAACCTCGAAAGGTACTGTTAGATTGCAATTCGCGGTCAGGCGCTTTGAATACAGAGTACTTGTGTACGGATCTATGACTTGGGATAATGACTTCATGTCCAACTCAAATTTCCTGCTATCGTTCGAGCATTGCATAAAGTGCAAATTCTTTGTTCCTGTCAATTGAGTTTTTGAATTGCAACTGCACGACTAGCTCCTGTCATTTCTGTGTACTCCAGACATGCGGTGTCAGCCACCGCCTTGCTGTATTACCCTGTACCCCAGATGCAGATGCGCTATGTTCAGGGGTCCAGAGCCTTGAGACAGGTCCAGAGCCCAACCTGACCAAACGGAGGTTGCCGCAAAGAAATGTGTCATTCCAATGCGGGGTGCATACGCGTCTAGTTTCCTTATGAGATTAATTGTGAGCATATACAGCAGAGCTTCCTGCTGCGTAACAGCACCAGCCTGGGAGATGCAGGTTGCCCGGGATTTATGGGTGAATATCGGCAGTACGGCATGTGTGTCAAAGTCGAACTGCTCGCCGAATTCGCCTCTTGAGTCTTTGTCATGTTCCCCAATCAGACCGGCTGTAATTCGTTTTCCTGGCTGCCGCCGACATCGATCGATGGATTATCTCAGCAAACGGCGTGGTTCTGGGTCCGGTGGACGGCTCGTCGCGGGCCGTGTACCATCTTCCCCTTTCGTGGCGCCTAATGCAGGTCATGGAGCCGTTTCCCCACTGCCCCAAGCCAGCTCACCGCGACAGAGCAGAGCATTGGAGGAAGAAAAAAAATAACACGAACAGCCATCTGCTTCAGGCGTATGGATCCGAAGACGCGCCAAGTTGCCAACACCCGCTCCGCCTCGGGAAACTGCACGATTTGTCCATTGTGGGCGAGGTCATCGGTGAGGTCTCTTTCCAGAGGCGTAGGGCAATCCGTGCCGGCCGTGCAGACTGCAGGTCCTATTCCTGATCCAGGACAGGCTGAGGAGGCAGCAGCACGCCTAGCATGCCTTCTCCACGATATCTCGTGACCACCTGCGCGCCCACGCCGGCATCCCACCCCTCGAGAAGGTAGCACGTCGTGATGACAATCGCGGAGCCCAGGCCGTGTGAGGGCTGCTAATGCTCTCCTCAGACCCATTGCGGCTGGATGACTGGCGTTGGGGAGAAGAGGTCAATTGCGATTTGATGGCACTGTGAGGGGTTGAGGAGCGTGATCTGCAGGATTTTCCGTAGAACTTTGCGGAGTAGATGGGGGCATGTGCGCGCCACCTGCTCAGGGCCTAGCTGCATCGTCGCAGAACAAATGGCATTTTGACGTCCGTCATCGAGTGGATTTGCCTTGGATCTAAGCGATCTTGCCATTGTTCTAGTGGATGGCCCATGCGATGAGGCCATGGACGTTGGGATCGAATTGAAATAAAAGCACGCTAGGAATGCCTGCCCAGCCCTGTCTTGACCACGATTCTTGATCGTACGCCGAATAGACTGCTTTATTCTTGCGCCATCATTCATTCCATCTCAGCTCAGATCGTCGTTCCTTCCGTCCACTGCCGCGGGCACCTCGGAAAACGCGATCAGACCTTCTCCGCCCCATCTTGCGTTGCGCTTCGAGTCCTCGAGTCTGCCGTCTCGAGGTTGAGGGGAAGAAGGAACGGGGAGATTGTAGCATCCAGAGACAAACAAGAGTGGGCTTGCAAGACCGTGCTTCCAGATGTATTCATTTGTGACCCCTGCTTTCTCAGGTCCTCCTCCGTGGCCATCTGCCAGCAGCGGACCGTCGACCTCTTCGATCCTCCCTCGAGCGCCATGCGAGATCCCCATCTTCGCCAATGCCGCCTACTACCCCAACTGGAGGATCTACAAGAAACAGCCGCCGTCCTCGCTGCGGCTGGGATTTGTCTCCCACATTTTCTATGCGTTTGCCTGGTACTAGCAAGATCTCTTGGACTGGTGTGGATCACGCGTGTTGACTCGACTTCTCTATTCAAACAGGGTGAAGGAAAATGGCGAAGTTTATGTCTTTCTCCCCTTCCTGGCTGCAACATCCAGCAGAGTTGACTGACCTTTGGGACAGCTCAGTGACGAATGGGCCGATGCACAGATGCCCGTGGATGGTACAGAAGGCTGTTTGCGGGCGTTCACTCAGCTGAAGCAGCAGTACTCCGAAATGAAAGTCATCCTTTCCATAGGCGGGGGCGGCAAGGGCAGTGAGAATTTCGCCAAAGTAGCCAGAAACCCGCCGGCGGTAGAGATCTTTGCAAGAAGTGCCAGAGCCTTGGTAGATCAGTTCGGCCTGGATGGAATTGACAGTACGGCGTCTTCCTTACTCATCAGAAGTAAATTTACGGATTGATTGGCGACTAATGCTGTGATATTCAGTCGACTGGGAGCATCCATCAGACTCGCAACAAGGCCGCGACTACCTCTATCTTCTATCTAGGTTGAGAGAGGCGTTGCCGTCCCCACGATTCCTCCTGACAACCGCGCTTCCGGCAGGGGAATGGGCGCTACAACATATCGACCTAGCCAGCGTTCAGCAGTGCGTGGATCTTCTCATGGTCATGTGCTACGATTTCTCTGGACCCTGGGTCAATCGCACAGGCCACCAGTCTCAGCTCTTCACTCCGCGTCATCCACACAACGAGGCCGCCTATATTTCCTGTCAATCGGCGGTGACGTATATATTGTCACGGGGGGTGAATCCAAAGAAAATTCTACTGGGAGTACCCGTCTACGGTCGATCATTTCTAGGTTCGGATAACATCAACCAGCCATACTCAGGCCTTGGAGGAGAAGATGGAGCTTTCGACTACTGCGATCTCCCACGGCCTGGGGCCAAGGAGCATCACGATGATGCCGTTGGAGCGGCGTACTGCACCGGTGGTGACGGCGGATTCGTTACGTACGATACGCCTCGAACGGTGCAGCAAAAGGCCAAATTTGTGACGAATCTGGGGTTGGGGGGCTTGTTCTACTGGCATATCACTGCCGATAAACGTGGAGCGAAGAGTCTGATCGAGACGGGATACAACACGCTGCACGACATGTAAGATGGTTTTCTTTCAACTGTATATTGACTGCATTAGGGTTTGAGTGGAGTCGTTGATATTTTAACACGACAATGCATTGGGGAAGGCAAAAAGAAAAGAAGAAGAAAACAAAAAGTTTGGGCGGCTTATTGATTTTACCTGAGAAAATCGACAAGAAAAATTCATGCTCCTCCCCCTCCTCCTTATTCTTCCTTTCCTCTCTTATGCAAATATGAAAGAGTGTAAGAATGCCTAAACATCCAATTCAAATGATGAAATACCATAGATCAGCACTCTTCCTTTTTCGTAAATATAGCATGTACTTCTAACTAATATCAGATTCAGGTTTGCAAAAGATGAAAATTTGACAAGATATATTTGTATACATGTATACTTACTATGAGCTTATATATACTGTGCAGTAAGGCATTTAATTTATACATGTCCATATCATTGTCCAATTTAACTAATCCATCCCCATTGATAATCGATTCGTTTACATTTGCATTCACATTTCACTCAATTTAGATCAGAGCTGATCAGATCTGTTCTGTTCAGCTCACCTCACCCCAATCGACAAAGACCATACCTATATCTCAGCAGATCAATAAAGCCAAAAAAAAACATACATACAATGCATGCACACATAAATACTATATTATATACACACCAAAAAAAATATATATAATAAAAAAAATCAAATTACAGTCCCACCTGCGCGATATTCAGCTGCGTCGTCAACTGATTCGAAGCCAACGCCTGGGAGAAATACGGTATCTCCTGCCCGTTGTACTCGCTCTTGTTGCCCCGGATATCGATTGTCAGCACGTTGCCCTTCAGAAAGCGGGTTGCCTGGGTCAGGTTGACGTTGGAGGTCATGGGGACGGTGTTGTCGCCTGGCACGAGCGTCAGGTCGTTGAGGAAGGATTGCCCGATGTGTGTGCCGTTGGCGGAGAGGTCGAGGGTGATGTTGCCCTGGCGGAACCAGAAATTGTCAGTTCACTATAAAAAAAAATGATATATGTGTAGTGTATGATGAAGACCTACCATCGCGACGGTCAACACGCTCGGATTCGGAATATACACCGTGCCACTCATCATGGCGGTGCCGTCGGTCTTGACGGACGTGATATTGGAGCTCGTGATATTGAACCCTTTCAGCCCGTTGAGACCTGCAACAACGACCTTGACTCAGCATGTTATCCCATGGCGAGGAGGGTATGTGATATTGTGACAACCCACCCCTCAACGTAACCGTCTTGTTAAACGTAACAACCTTCTTCGGCAACCCGCCTTCCTTCAGATCCGGGCGTCCGTAGAAATTCAGCTCCACCGCCTCGTTGTTCAGCATCGCCTTGGAGAAGTCCGCCATGGCGGAGGCGTCGCTCAGCTGCAGGACCTGGTCGACGTGGATGATCTGGCCGTCGTTGGCCTGGATCTGGGGCACGAGCGCGGTGGCGATGGGCGCGGCGGCGCCAACCATGCTGATCGTCGCGTTGAAGGCGTAGATGGTCGGGTGGTACGCGGCCTTGTTGCCCAGCACCTGGGTCTGGGTGACGTGGATCGAGTCCGGGGTCGGGTCGGTGATGACCAGCTGGGTGATGTTCAACGTCGAGGCGTCGACGTCGTGTTGAGCGATGCGCGGGTATGCCACATACACCCTGATATCGGGTCAGTTAATATATATCACCAGATATATGTTCCTGGGCTTCTTACACCGGAAGCGTAATCACAAGCACAATCACAATCAGAACCAGCAGATGAAGCCACCACCATTTCTTGTAATGAGCCCCGAGACGGCTGGGAAAGCCGCGTTTTGCGGGAACGGAATTCGCCTCGATGGCGGTTTGTGTAGGCTGCGTTTCGGCTTTGTCTGCCATGTTGTCTATATAGATATATGTTGCACTCTAGAGAGGAGTGTTCGTCGCTATATATAATCTGTGGAAAGAAACTGAATCGCTTCAATTAGTATTTCTTCTTCTGACGCAGGACGTGTATAGGTACCGGAAACCAGAATCCCTTTCTTTGCGTCACGCTGCTCGAGATGACTGTCTTGATTGTTTGCAGCGAAATCACCTCGCAAACTGCTACAGAGAGAAAAAAAGAGAGAGAAAGAGAGAGAGAGAGAGGACCAACTCAACTCCCCACGCAGGTCAGCAGACCGCAAGATAAAAAGACGACGACCAGCCGATCCGGGGAAGTGGGGGTGGAGATGGAGATGAAGATCGTCGAATAAGGTTGTATTGTAAGTATATACTAATTGTTGGTTGGATTTGAGATATGGCGATTAAATGGTTTTTTTTTCGAAGGATCAGATCAGATTCAGAACTCTGGCTGCCTTTTTCCTTCCTCTCGGCAGATGGCCGTCACATGTTACAGGACAACACGAGGCCGAATGCTCTTGCGCCGCGGCTAAAGTAGGGGATAATATTGGGGGGCAAATAATAATAATATGGCATGACTCCATGCCCTATATGGGAAAAGAAATGGCCACTTAAGTAATTAATTAAGTTTCTGCTGCTGTCACATCAACGAGCGGACGGGCGGATGTCTATATCTAGGTCATTACCCGTTCGGGCCATGGTCATCGAGGATCGACGCTGCAGGGCAGATCGATCAACACGGTCAATCGTTGCACTACGAGTCTTGCAACTGATAGGCAGAGGATAGAAAGAAATCCATCTCTTCACAACTCGTCGAACCGTAATCATGAGGCATGCACACTTGCACAGCATTGAAGAATGGCAACGTCGAAACCACACTACTCCAAGCCATGTAACAATGGGGTCTGCACTATTTCTTAGTCCTGGGAGAGTATACTGTACGGCGGAATTAACTCGTACTAGAAGGTCACCTGCCGGAGCCAGCTGGATCGACATTGGCCAGGACTCAGTCCATTCTGCTTGGAAGTGCTGGCTGGAGTCATGATCCTTGTCTCCGCCGTACGCTAACAGAATAGAGAACTTTCCCCGCCTCCAGGTTGGAGTAAGGCCCAGGTGGTTGGCCATTTCGTCTCCACTGCGAGCCAGGAACGCCTGCTTAGAATAATGAGCCCAGAATTCGGCATCTTGCCTTCTCCACTGCACATGCTACCTACACAGGGGGTATAGACGGCCATTGCTGCCAGCCTGCCCAGAGAGCTATCCAAGGCATTGCCGTCGGCTATACCGAGTACTTCGCAGGAAACCCCTGTTCATCTGTCTGAGTAAATCCACAATGTTTTACTACTAAAAATACTTATTACTTCCAGATTTGCCGAGTAAATGCGACCACAGGCACATCGGTAACAGCCGTGGTAAAAGCAGGAGCTGAAGGAACCGCAGGAGCCTGCAGTTGTCGTTCCTGACCACAAACAGTACATACAATATATCAGTTACTGTACAATATCAGTACAATAGATCGTAATAAAGACAGAGAACATACACAGCAGTCAGAACAGCTCTGTAGAATTTTTTCCTCCCCTCTTCCTTTTTCCGTTTCCCACATAAACGCTCAAACTAGCGGCTACGCAACAGATCCTCGATGGTCTAGTGGCTATGATTTCCGCTTGTCATTCCATGCGAGGAGTACACGCGGGAGACCGGGGTTCGATTCGTAAGTACCACCAGCTTGCCCTTAAGCCATGGCATCATGGCTAACAAAAGAACAGCCCGTCGGGGAGATACAATAATCCTACCTACATAGTTTTTTGTCCTCACATTTTTGCTTTTTTTTTTCGACTTTCCGTTCCCATCTCCTATCTCTGATACACCCGACAATAAGGAAGTACCTAGACTTTTTGTGCGAAAATGGCGTACATAAAGCATGTGATTGGTCAGAATCGCTTATTCAGCACCCGTCTGTATTTCTTATGTAAGCATACCACAACAAAACTGCCTTCCTAGCTGAGTGCCTTAGATAAAGGCTTCGCAGTGCCTTCTCCGTAGAGCTTCACAGTGCTTGCCCTATAGGCTTCACGTTGGCACTCCTATAGGCTTCTCAGTTCCTCCTTGTCAGGAACCTTGACGTCTGATAGATGTCACGTGGTCGAATCCAGATTAGGCTTAGCGTTGTCTCGCTCGCTTTGCCTTAGGTAGGTACAATACCTTTGAGTCATCTGTGTGAACCTCTCTTGTCTATTTTTTCTATTTTTTTCCCCTTCCTTTCCTCGTTCTTGGATTCCAGTAAATAGCTGATCGTAGCTATCAAATCGAGCTTCCTTACGCTCCTGTATAGACTTCCCTGTAGACCTTATATAGGCTTACATTAATACAGAGGGCTGAAGTGAAGGAGGTCCGGAGCATTTAGGTATATACTAAGCTTTGCGTTAGCTTCCCTATATATAGGCTTCATAAAGCATCCCCGATAGGCTCCCCTATGGGCTTCGCAGTACTTCCCTATGGACTTTGCGTTAGCTCCATGTATGCTCCCTTATAGGCTTTATATAAGTTTACGTTACAGAGTACAGGCTTGCGGGGGGCCGAAGGTCCAGAGCATCTCCTACGTAGGTATTCTTTCCCCTTCAAGCCTAAGACGAACGGAGCGAGTCGTTCAAGGCTTGTTTTTCCCATAGAAATTCTCAAATCCAGCCGCCCCACCCAACAAATCCTCGATGGTCTAGTGGCTATGATTTCCGCTTGTCACCATCTTGGTACAATCGCGGGAGACCGGGGTTCGATTCGTAAGTTTGCGTCAGAAACCATGAATTGAATTTGCATCGATTCTAACAGTTGGATAGCCCGTCGGGGAGATGCCAGTACATTTGTTCAATATTTTTTCTCTCTGTCGATCCAATTCCCCTCCACTTCCCCCTTCTACATTTTTTTCTGCATTTTCTAATCTTCTCGCGCACGGGCTTTTTCTGTATTTAACCAGTCACGAGACCAATCTGAGACGAGATGTGGGGATCTGGAGGCAGTGTACGGAGTACGGAGTACCTACAGATACGGATACGGAGGTACCGAAGTACCCAAGGCAGTTTTGTTGTGGTATGCTTACATAAGAAATATGGACGGGTGCTGAGTAAGCGGATCTAACCAATCACTGGCGTCTGTCTTTGTTTTAGCCAAAAAAACTTTATTTCCTTATAAGAGAAAATATAAAATATCGTATAGGAGAAATTAAAAGAAAACCGGAAAAAGGAAGATACGGGAGGAATGGATAGTGACCAAAAAAAAATTGGTCGGAAAAAGTCTATTCCTCCCCGACGGGGAATCGAACCCCGGTCTCCCGCGATTGTAACCCACTACAGGATGACAAGCGGAAATCATAGCCACTAGACCATCGAGGACGCTTTCTTAAGGAAGGCTTCAAGAGAGACTCCTATCAACGAAGAAACCTAGACATCAGTGGCCTTGGGTGTATAAAGACATAGTGTAGCACCCTGTATGCTGACTTCTTTACGTGCATTTGACAGTAATCCAGTAGTATGTTCGGACCATGCGAAACGATCCCAGTTTGCTGTTTTCTCACTCGCCAAGTCTGTCTGTCGAAGATCATTTATTTTATTCATTTACCTCCCACGAAGATGTCTGTCAGTTACAGATACCTAGCTTTGTATAACCCCAGAAATAGGCACACATGTGTTCTGAGGACTGTATCGTTTCCGGAACCTGTATATTATCGATCTCGGTGTTAATCAATAGTATGTTAAAACCTTTAAGAATCAGATCTTATAACCCTAACAAATTAGCCTAGAAAATAGGCATTATAGGCACTAGATTTTTTTTGTTAGCTAAAATTTACTAACATGGGTCATTTATATAGAATGTGGAGTACAGCGCAATAAGTGCATGTACTCTCCTACTAACAGGCTAAAGTATTAAACTAAAACTACAATGTAGAGAGATACTGCACCTCATCTAATTTGGAGTAAGTCTTCCGCCATCAAAGAAGTTCTTTAGGCAGACCTTGGAAGTTGGAACACAAGAAAACATGGTGCAAAAAAAAGTCTCTGGTCTTGACCTGTAGGAAGCTCCATGACAAGTCCTTTTATAGTGAATAAGGAAGGGCCTTTGTTGACCCTAAGTCTTCACCACAGGCAACACACACTATCGTATCAAGGAACGGGCTGAAGAAAGAAATCGAAGCACTTGATGTGTACGCCAAAGTTGTATATTCTGATAATTCCTTTCTGACATTTATGAAATTGGCATTTCATTCCCTGTAGCATAGAGTGGATTTAGCATTTCATAATTTCTCACCACGGCCTTCTTAATCTGCATGACTGACATAGCAATCTTTGAGAGAGCATTGAGGCAGTATGTGTTGCAATTCAAGTCGTCGAACACATTCTCCAGTAGAAATTGGAGCACGTGTTGCAGAGTACTCGCAGAATAAAGAATCCAAACAGGGCTCTTAAGGATGACAAGAGTGTGGCCTCTTATTAGATCTTGAAATGGACTGGTAAGAGGTGAAAAACCCAAGATAACAGCGTAGCAGAGGGAACTGCTGTTACAGTGCAGGTCATATTCTTAGATAAGCCAAGGTCAAGAACTGCAGTTAATCGTCACAATGTCTTGTATTGTCAATATAGTTCTTTTTATTCGAAGGAAATCTTTGTATCCAATTGGTCGTGCCATGAAAATCAGCTTCATTCCTGTCAACCTGAGTCAGCTGCATCCAGACAGGGTTGCACCAGTTAACCTAGCCCAGTCTGGCCGAGTCCTGACGACTCTCTTCTCCCCGTGTCATCCTTCTACCTCGAGGGCAAAAAGAAAAAAAAAGCCATGGACGCAATTCGCGAAAAACACCACACCCTCATCAGCGGCCTAACAAAGCTGTACGATCTCCTAGTTTTAATGCGTTACATCCCCACAAGTTGTCGCAAGCCGCATCCAAGTAAGGATTCCAGGCCTGGAGCTGGTCGAACGTGATGTTGAACTTGCTATCGATCAGAGAGCAGTTGTCTCCGGACACGGCGGTGTACCATTCGTAGCAAGACGTCGTTGCCCCCGGTTGAGTGGGCGCCGGCGGCGGAATCGGCGTGGACGCAGAGGGATTGCTGGTGGTCGTCGTGGTTGGAGTGGATGGGGAAGTGGTGATCGAACCCGAGGGGATGGGGTGCCATTGACCGGGGCCACGCAGTAAGACGTGTTGGCCTACAAATTGTCACAGGCAGTGTCGATCTGGGGGTTCATGGCGCGTAATTGATCAAAGGTGATGGAAAAGTTCAGGCAGATCATATTGCAATAGTCGCCAACGTGAGTGTTGTAGTAGAGGCCGCAATTGCTAATTGTTCCGGGGGGAGTGGGCAACGCTGGCACCGCGGTCGTCGTATACACCGATGGCGTCGCGACTGAAGCCGGGGCAGCGGTGGTGTGTAAGCTCCTCCAGGAGGGCTATGCATCTATTAGACGAGATGAAATGAATTGGATGGCGTTATTTGAAGGAGGACGTACCCGACGTAAATCGTATCTCCCGGCAAGACGGGGTAGTGAATCGCTCCTGGATTCCACTTCATGAACTGAATCAGGGAAATGTTGGAGTAAGGGCCGTTGGGCCCTATCAACTCGGTCCCAACGATGCCGCCGTCGACCCAGATCTTGGCGACATCGCACGGGGCTGGAAGACAGTATGTCGCGTTAGCCATGACACTGCAATCGATCCATTTGTTCAGGTCTCGGAGGGTGCCCGTTGCGACATTGTACGCCAGGGAGAATGCACTGCAGTTGAGTGGAGATAGCGCTGGTTGGTTCAAGGTCACATTGCGATCGCATCTGCTTGGGCCGACCCATGGTACCTCTGGTCGACTATGTCCACGTTGTCAGTTTCACCTTCGTGAACGGACGGGGAAAAAAAAGGTCAGCCTTACTTTGGGTCCGGAGGTCCCGATTGATTGAGAGTAGGGAAAACATAGAGCTCTTCTTGGAAATTGCAATTTTTTTTGAATGTTGGCCCAAGCCTGCGCTTTGACCTCGCTGTTTTTAGATTAGATTTCATCCAAATATGACAAACTGTGTTGGAAAGACGTACTTGTACATTTCCCCCCATCGGGACATAAAACCCAACTTGAATCGCTGCAGAAACAGGACGAGCATTGAATCTCCAGAGAATACTCATCGTATTCCAAACTCAGCGTGGAGTTCGGGTTCAAGATGCCGTTTGCCTCGCCGGGCCCGTGGTATTGATAATCCAGTGCTAAATCATCTGCATGAGCCCTGGGCTTCGTGTCGCCGGCAGAAAAGAAAACTTACACGCCTTCCTGCCCGAGTTGAAGGTCGGTTGGGGAGGTGGAACAGTGAGATAAGGCGGGATAACGGTTCCATTCTCATCGACTGCATTGGTTCCATTGATCGGATCGTCTGCGTGTCCTTCGGTCAGTGTCTTGAAAAATTCCGCGGGGGAAGATGAAACGAACTGATCCAATCCGGATACCATTTCTCGGTATATGTCGGCCATGTCACGGTCGGAAGATACTCGAGAAACCACTGCCTCTGCTCAAGCAAGCACCAGGAAGCACCATCCGCCAAGCAAGTCAGATTGTACTTGTACATGTAAAAGTCGACAATGCGCTCGGCATTCATCATCGAGCTACCGAGGGAGAATGACAGATTGCCGCAGTCCGATACGATTGTACTCTGCAAATTCGCCAGAGAGTTCCGACAATCGGTGGTGCATAGTCTGGAGTTTTCATGTCAACATTCCATGTCTGGATGAAGATCGGTTTCAGAACCTACGCTGTGAGATTGGTGGCATTCCAGCCCACCCAGTCTGTCTGCTGGTAGAGCCGTCCTAAAATCGGATCGCAGTTAAGGGACGTATTGAAGCTGGCCAGACACGCGGTCGATGTGCCGTTCGGAAAGACGATGGATTGCATGCCATTGAAGAGCGTGGTTGCGGCTGTCGCGGAGCTGACAACGGTCGCCAGCAGCGCGGAGAGCCTGGTCAACAACATAATTCCTTTCATGCGCATCTTCTATCAAGACGAGCAGAGGAGAGTGGTGAGGATGTATGCCAAGTAGGTCCTGCTCGAGTACTTCAGGCCGCTTCTGAGCCCGGTGCTCCCTTTGCCGGACCTCTTCAATGCCATGCCTGGTCGTACCATTTCCATTCTTCAAAAAATCCCTCATCCGCTAGGTGACATTAAACCGAAATTTGACCGCTGTGCACATGATATCCTGGGACCTCTTTTCCCTGTGAGCAATTCGCCATCCCTGTCCCTTGTACAGGGTTGGCTGAATATAACAAAACCAACATTAGCGCTCTTCAGCCGCAGAATTGTGTTACTCTTTTGTTGCGCTTGCAGATGCCTCTGAGCTCTAGGCGTCTGGGCAAAAGAGAAGTAATAATAATAATATCGATGTCTGCGCCCGGAACGGAAAGTGGAAAGCGCACGTGAACGCTAATAATGGCTCCAGAGCGGCAACTACGCCGCCCACGTGGATATTCTTACCTATCTCGGTAGGTGGGTCAACGCGGGCAGTTGGAAATACTAACCATATTTAGACTAGTGTAAGTGATACTCCGTGCCCCGGAGTACATGGTACAACACGTGACCGCTACAGCACTTGTTTCACACAACACAGGTGCAACCAACACCTCTCTGTTATTACCCTTCGAAAATTCGAATTAATCATGGTCACCTGCATGAAACAAGTAATGCAGGATGGCTTCGGCTTTACTATATCCAATGGCAGGTGTTCCGAGATGGATGCCTGGCTTGCCCCATGTTCACAACGATGTCACCCTACAAGGATGATGATATGTATGATCCCGCAATATAACGGATGAGATTTGGTGAATATTGGAGGAATGGTCCGGCCTGCTTTGCATCACAGAGGTCCATAAACTCGCAGAAATCGTCTGGGAGAATCTTTTTGGTCACCCCATGCGCGATACTGATGAAGCGATGACCATGGCGACGACACGGAGATTCGACAAGGTCCTTTGCTACCTTTTTCTATGTCTGGGACTGGCTTCAATTCTGTTCGAAAACATTCAAGGTGTTCAGGCCCAGCAAGATAGTACTTGTTCTGCCACAAAACCTTGTAAAGTCGGATGCTGCTCCGTATACGGTCGGAACCTTCTCCTCTGTGGAATGCCAGTACAACAGGAATTGACAAAGGCCTAGGGAGCTGTGGGTTTGGTCCTGCGTTTTGTGGACAAGGTAAGAGCAATCGCTACTCAACGATGGCATATCTCTAATCAGATACGTCCGTAGGTAACTGTCGAGTACTTGCAATGCGACAGCAGAATGCGGCGAGTATGCTGCTCCGGGGCACTCGACATGTCCTCTGAACGTCTGCTGCTCGGCATACGGGTTGGTTGCAAAATGATCTTCTAGTTCAGACCGGTCAGCTGACTGTGAGGCAGTTTCTGTGGAACAACATCGGAGTGAGACACCTTTTACCATCAATCGAGGATCATGAAATTCTTAATACAGATCTCCCTAGTTTCTGCGGACACGGTTCTCAGAATGGATGCGGCGCAATCCCGAGGCCATCCGGACATGGGAGTAGCGCTCGCGCCAGAACGATTGGGTACTATGAGGCTTGGGCCCACGGACGTCAATGTGATTCTGTGGCACCGGAAGACATTGAAGCCAACCTGTGGACACATATCAAGTGAGGCTGTGAAAGGCTTCCTTGGATATGGGCTAACTAATCTGACTGGTATCAGCTACGCCTTCGCGCTGATCCATCCAGACACCTTCCAGCTGGCGAAGATGAATTCGTACGACGACCAGCTTTATCCTAGGGTTGCGAACCTAAAGCTTTCGAACCCTGCTTTAAAGGTTCGGCACTTTCCACTTGAACTAACGCTGCTAAAATTCTTTCTAGATCTTTATATCAGTGGGAGGTTGGGACGCCGGTGGCCAAATTTTCTCACAGATGGTCTCCAGCGAAGCGAATCGAGCAGCATTTATTAGTTCTGCGGTGCAATTTTGCCACACTCAAGGCTTCGATGGAATCGATATTGACTGGGAATGTAAGTCTTAACTGTACCCCCTGTTGAGCCAGCCAGATAACCAACCAACAAACACAATCAATCAGACCCCGTAGCCAGCGATCGAGGAGGCAGTCCGGATGATTTTGCGAACTACGTGACGTTCATCAAGGAATTGAAAGCGGCTGCCGGGAAACTTGGTGTTACCATGACGCTGCCCAACAGTTACTGGTATCTGCAGGGATTCGATATCGTCAACCTGGAACCGCACGTCGACTGGTTCAACTTCAGTTATGACATCCACGGGACATGGGATGGGAATAATCCGTGAGTGTCAATCCAGGATTTTCGACAATCACTCATGCGTGAAAGAGCGAACAACTGACTGTATTTGTGAAGGTATACCCAAAAAGTCGTCAACCCTCACACAAATCTTACAGAGATCTCCCAAGGCCTGGACCTTTTGTGGAGAAATAAAATTCCGTCCAACAAGGTTGTTCTAGGAATAGGCTTCTATGGGCGTTCATTCACCTTGGCCGATCCGTCTTGCAAGACGCCTGGATGCCCATTCTCCTCGGGAGGAACGGCTGGAGAGTGCACTGGACAGTCTGGAATCCTTTCGAATGCTGAAATTGGGCGCGTTATTACGGCCAATAAACTCACTCCCACCCTGGATAAGACGGCAGGAGTGAAGTACATGAGCTGGGACAATAATCAATGGGTCTCCTACGATGACGCGGACACGTTTAAACTGAAGATGGACTTTGCCAACAACCTGGGCTTGGGCGGCACAAGTAAGTTGGTTGAATTGGATGGGAGCGAACCGTTCTAACATGCGTACAGTGGTGTGGGCTTTGGATCTGGATAATGCAGACGCTCAGTCTTCTCAGTATCTAGACTCGCAAGGAACCATGAACAACAGCAATGGATTCAGCTTGCAGAAAAAGGCGGCCGATACCAAGCAACAGATTGCTGGAACGTTAGCCTTCTGGACTCCATGTTTGACGGAGCACGAGCGTGCTACACGCGGTTGTCCCGGAGGTAAGGTTTCACCCGCATATGGACTGCATTGACACTAACCGTTACGTAGGCTACCATGAGCTTCTCATTGGACACGGCAAGGTTTTCGATAGCGATACCGTCCATGAAGTGGCGGGTTGCAAGGGGTCCCTGAACAGACTCTTGTGTTTGAACAACGAGGCCGTCCAGCGAAATTGTGTCTGGAATAGAAAATCGGACGGGGTTTGGAGCCTGATTCATTATCGGTGCGTACAATCTGGCTGACTTTGTTCGACAGAGCAAGATTTGTGACAGAGGATGCCCAGACGGAACGATATTCTTGACCCAGAACACTCAGCCCGCTGGAGACAAAACCGACTGCGCTCACGGAACATATATCGCCGTCTGCTGCGAAGACATTGAGACGATTGCACAAGCATGCCCAAATCAGTTCTCGGCCGACATCATTTTCTCTGGAGGCCTCTCTGGTGGAAGCAATGCCGACAGCCCGTTCAGTATCAAAGCAGCCACTCCGAGTAAACGAGAAGATTCGAGTCAGTCGACCAAGTTAGAACATCTCCTCTCTTTCGGCAAGCGGGCCAATGATGGCTATAATCCCAGTGAGCAACCCATCCTCTTTCTACAAATGCAAAGCATGCCCGCTGATCAACCCGAAAGACAACGTATGCGGTTCCGATTTCGACTATCAATTCCCTCAGCCGCCAGCAGCATTGGGATATATACCTGTTTATGCCAATTACATGCTCCTCTCAAACCCAGGCATCGGGCTTACCTGGTGGGGCGTCAATAAAAAGTTACTATAACCTCTACAGTGCAACCCGCATCAAGTACAAGGGCGACTTCACTCATCCAGAAAACCTGCGATGGTATATTTTCAATACCCCCAATGGCCGCGAACCCAGGCTGACGGCGGTCAATGACAACAAATAGGTGCTAAATATCCCCAAGCCTGCGCGAATTGGCGCTCAGTGGCAACGAATTACGGCCTTCGAACCGTTCCATGTCCCACTATGCCTGTTACGTTGATCCCGTACCGAGCAGCGGTGAAACAATGGTCCAGGGACCATAATAGAGCGTGGTATCCGTGGATTGTGAAAAGTGTTTGGGCCCCTTATGCGGGAGTGACCAGCCGCCTCTACTGCCAAGTGGATGAATGGCCTCCCTACGATCTTTGGAGTTCCCGTGTCTCCGGTGTCGGGATTATTCATGTGAGATACCTCCCTGGGGGTCAGAATGGAGGTGCCTCCAACGCGGCAGAGTCTGGAATCAGCGTCAAACATGACTGTAAGTTCTGTGAACATTGCTTCTACGGGGCAAAACTCAATGGGTGCTGCAGGCCAACCCATCCCCCCGGCTGTTACCACGAGTACTGAGACAATCTCAACTTATTACGGACTGTTCACGGACACTGTTTTTGTTCGCGAGCATCTCACGTCGACGGTAAAATCCATTGTCATGAACTGGAAGAGCATTCCATACGACCCGGTGGATACTGATCTTCTGACCAGCAACCCATGCTGGCCCGCGACTCTTTTCCCCAATGCCGAACCCGGATTTGCCTTGTTAACGAATGACGACTATTACCAGACTTCCTCCTTGTTTAATCCCTCGGCATATTCATATGTCCCGGCGCCGGCGGTAACAAGTAAGTTATCCTTTCTGAGGTTGAACTTAAGCGTGGATGACCCTAACTGACTCGCGCGATATCCAGCTGGTAAAACACCACCGACAAAAAGAGCGCTGGAGGTGAATGTCTATGATGACGACAGTGAGTCTCTCTTTTTTTTTCCCCAGTATCTCTCTCCACAATGCTAAACATCCATAATGATAGCCGCGGCATACATGGTCGACGACGGCAACAGCACGCGCGCCGCAACCCCGTCAGAAATCGCCCAGGTCCTCGGTATTCCTTCATGCAGCGAAGTCAACTGCGAGGAAGAAAAAGAAAATCTGCGCCGAGACATCGTCCAACACCGGCAGCGAGCGAAGTATATTCGCGAACATGCCGATGAAATCCAGTCAATGCTCGTAGCGGGGATCGACGAGCCCATCGCCTCGAAAGCATCCGAGCTCGTCCTGACCGATTCGTCATTTATTAATCCCTCTGCAACCACGACGGCGTTGCTAGCGAGCATGACTGCAGTGACGCCTTCGAGGCCAACTTCTGAGGTGAACGATGCGCAGGTCACTGGTAGTGTTGGTGATGTGATCTCCATGTACGTGCATGGCGTACATAATGTGCATCACTGCCATCATGGGGGGAATGGTTCATTGCATGTAACCTTGAGCAGAGGAATTATATCAGGACAGTGACTCCATCTTCCCTTTTCATCTTTGACAGTGCCTGGGCAAGACTGTATTGCAGACCCTTTACCTTGGATTTTACCCCCTACTAGAAATAAAACTTAACTAGTTGGTAATCAATATGCAAATACCTTACAGTACTAGCTAAAAACCAGCCGGGAAAGCAGAAATTGTAGGCACGCGTGCATCCCTTGTAGAGAGGGCCTGCGAGATCTGCGGCCCTTCCACCAAACAGCCACTCTACTACATCAATTGCCTCAGGTTAATCCATGTTTGATAGATATATAAGTGCATGCATCACAAACTCCCCGGTTTTTGATGGCAATATTTTTAGTCAGCCAGTAATGGTGATCTACAGAGATTCCAATACAGGAAGTCAACTTCGTCGATCGCATCGATTCGATGCTTGGACTGTTCATCTTCCACTATGGTCATGGGTGAAGAAGAGTTTTTGCTACTATTACTAGACTTTGGCCTATTAACCAGAGATGGCAGCGGCGATGGCAGGCGAATTTGGATGGGATGTTGAAACGAAAAATGATGAAAAATGTAGGACTTCTTGAATATTTTTTGAGGCTTGATCTAGATCGTACGTATATTATGAGTTTCCTGCTATTAGTCTTTTTCTTTTTATATCATTCTTTCTGAAATCCCCTAAGAATAAACAACAGATGAAGTATTAGACTGGTAAAAAAAACCATCTAAGTATTCAGCCTAACTGCATAGCTATAGTTTATCTATTTTATACTCTTCTAGTGATGCACACTACCGTCAGAAGCTAGCATGCGGCGATATCTTGACGAGAATAGACTATAGTGATTATTTTGGCATGCTATATATACAGCAAATCTTGCGGCTTATATAAGACTATTTGCCATGTGATTTCAAATGGCTCGAATATTCGCAGAACAGCACTGCACAATGCCCTCCACCTCTTTCTATTGGGTTATATTTCGAACGATGTGTTTATGGGTCTTTTTAAGGTTCGGGTGCATGCCGTAGTAGTGCGCGTGGAGGACGCTATGGAAGAGGCGTTGGAGACCTGGCATGAATGACAATATCAATCAACCATAGCTGTCCAAGATGAATTGAAATCTGGTTCCAAGATCCATCTGGAATGGGATATATATGTCCTCAAAAAAGGCAATGGTCACTTCATGATCACACATAGATCTTGAGGCAGGCATAGAACAAAGCCTCTTGACTGCGACAATGCGATTACTGTGATGAGTGAAAAATAAATGGCATGTGGAACAGATGCTAATGCATGTCATTAGCAGACTCCATACAGCCTCGTCTTGCGTTGTATTATGCAGGTCAAGGTGGCCAACAGTTCAGCAAAATAGTTCTGATTAGTTGTACTAGTTGAAGCGATGTATCTAAGTTGATACACAGTAATTGTGAAAAACTGCGCCATTAGCCAGGCTCATGTCTACAGCCCTGCAGTGTTACCAGTATGTATGACTGGGGCGCGCCGGCTTCTGTCCCTTACCATGGAGACGGCGCAATCACACATGCGTTAAGCAGCCGACGGTCATCAGCTAAGCTGCTACCCACCGCGACCACTAGCAACCTGGCCCTGCTTGGTTGTTCCACATGCTCACTGCGCCATGTGTTGGCACATGGGTCGGAGATCTTGCTATTGGTTCCATCTAGGATGACACTTCACACATTTGCGGCTGAGCATTCAGCGTGGTTGATAAAAAAGGCAGGCTCATCCCACTGCGAAACTGCGACTGCTAATGATCAACAGATTCTATCAAGAAGATACTGGAATACTACTTTCTCTTTTTGGAAGTAGATTGACTGGCACCCCTGGAATCTGCCTGCCTACCTGATTAGGCTAGATCATTTCACTGTGTTCTCAGCCTTTGTTTGCACGTCAGTTTCCTCATAGCTTGTCTTCTGCGGTATTTCAAGATTTATTCGATCTTCAGCCGCTATGGAACCGCAGGCTAAAAAAAGAGAGGACCGCTCAACTACAACAAATGTAGATTTTGCCGAAGCGCCAAGAAGAAGGTTCGTCTTCCTGTGTACTCCGTCGTCAATTTGGGTGCTGACGAAAGGCCAGTGTGAACCAGTCGATCGAGTGTGGCCAAGCCAGAAATGTAGCAGGTGCATCGAGATGGATTTACCTTGCTCAGAGAACCAGAGAGCTGGCGGCAGACGTGGGAGACCAACCACTAGCCCTATGGTTGGAGTCTCTGGGTCTATATCAAATAAAGCTGACTTTGAGGAGTTTCTCAACTTGTAAGGACTCTGTCCCACTGCGTGCGGACCCGACTCACATTCTTTAGGTCCCTACGCGTTGAGTGGCTAAGGCAGCTTTCGCTATTCAGTTGCTTTACTGATTCTGTTCTTGGAAAAATGGTCGAATTCGACGATTCAGCAGAGCATGCAGAGTGTCTCGAATCACTGGAATATCGAATTCGCAAAGAGCGGCTGGAGATTGACCGCGATGTAGACAGACTTTCACGGCGATTAGCATCCACTGGCGACAATTTTGCAGCACTATCCACTTCGTCGCTTCTCCTTAGGCATGGAATCCTTTCCCAAAGGGATGTAACATACGTGGATCCCGATCGTATTTCTTCTCGTGTTGAGCAGTCACTAGGACTTGGTGATTTTGGAACAGCCTTAATGATGCAAGAAAGCATTCTTCTTTGCCCAGATTGTTCGATATGGATTGAAACATTTGATATCGTCGAGGAAGTGCAACGGTACTTTAAAATCCAAAACGATTTCATACATCGCCTGAGAAGTTCCTACAAGCCGGATGCTCCACTCATTCCTCCTGGACACTTCCTGTTGGCTTTAACAAAGAACTCTTGTTTTCTACAAACAGTTGTCGATCTTCAGTCGCCACAGGAGAAAGATCATTTAGGACGATCTCTGTTACATGTTGCTCTGGACTATAATTGCGTGGAGGAAGTCCCGTGGTTGCTTGATAGGAGCTATTCTATCAACGAGAGAGATCGTTTGGGTCGTTCAGCCCTACATCTTGCTTGTTTCAACGGATCCACAGATGTGGTGGAGACTCTGCTTAAGAATGGAGCGGATATTACTGCCACAAATGAAGGTTTGCATCCTCTGCACTTTGCAGCTGCAAATGGATGCATGTCTATTGTGGAGCTGCTTCTTACCAAATACGACATTGATCCAGACTCTGGAGATTACTGTAATCGGACTCCCCTCGAATATGCGGTCCAAAGTGGCTCTTGCGAAGTGGTCAACCTGTTACTCACAACATACAACGTTGATCCAAATCCCGTGAATCTCCTTGATAGAACACCACTATTATATGCGGCTAAAAATGGCAATATGGCATTAGTCAAATCATTGCTTGCAAGAAATGTTGATCCTGATTCTAAGGATGATTGTGATCGGACACCACTTTCATATGCATCAGAGTATGGGCATACAACTATAGTTGAGCTGTTGCTTAATACCAACCATGTTAATCCTAATTCAGGGGATTATCATGGTCAGACGCTACTTTTACATGCAGCAATAGATGGGCATACAGCTGTAGCCAAGCTGTCGCCTGATACCAACTGTATTAATCCAAACTGCAAGGATCATGTTGGTCGGACACCACTTTCA